AAAGCATCAATTCTCAGCTATCTTTATGGTCAAACTCTCACATCCATACATAACTACTGGAAAAACCATAGCTTTAAGTATATGGACCTTTGTCAGCAAAGTAATGTCTCTGCTTTTTAATATGCTGTCCAGGTTGGTCAGAGCTTTTCTTCCAAAGAGCAAGCGTCTTTTAATTTAGTGACTGCAATCACCATCTGCAGTGATTTTGGAGCCCAAGAAAATAAAGTCTGTCACTGTTTCCATTGTTTCCCCATTTATTCACCATAGTGATGGGAACAGATGCCATAGTGAAGTGATAGGAACAGATACCATGATCTTCGTTTTTTGAATGTTGAGATTTAAGCCAGCTTTTTCACTCTCCTCTTTCACTTTCATCAAGAGGCTCTTTAGTTTTTCTTCACTTTCTGCCATAAGGGTGGTGTCATCTGCATATCTGAGGTTATTGATTTTTCTCCCAGCAATCTTGACTCTTGCTTGTGCTTCATCCAGCCCAGCATTTTACATGATGTACTCTGCATATACATTAAATAAGCAGGGTGACAATATACAGCCTTGACATATTCCTTTCCCAATTTTGAACCAGTGCATTGTTCCATGTCCAGTTCTAACTGTTGCTTCTTGAGCTACATACAGGTTTCTCAGGAGGTAGGTAAGGTGGTCTGGTATTTCCATCTCTTGAATTTTCCACAGTTTGTGTGTTCCACAAAGTCAAAGGCCTTTAGCATATTCAATGAGCAGATGTTTTTCTGAAATTCTCTTGCTTTTTCTATGATCCAAGGAATGTTGGCAATTTGATCCCTGGTTCCTCTGCCTTTTCTAAATCCAGCTTGAACATCTGGAAATTCTCTTCACATACTGTTGAAGCCTAGCTTGGAGGATTTTGAGCATTACTTTGCTAATGTGTGAGATGAGTGCAACTGTGTGGTAGTTTGAACACTCTTTGACTTTGCCTTTCTTTAGGATTGGAATGAAATCATTTTACTTATATATATAATATGTATGTATAAAATCAATGTGTGTAACAAGAAATTATTTTCCTATTACCTATAATTAGTCAGCCATGGTTTTAATTCATCCCAGGCTAGAAACCTCATCTAATATGAAAAAGAACATCACAAACTTCACACTTCAAATCAACCTGTGTCCCACTAAAAGCTGCTCAGCTCTGGAAATTTTCCCAACACTCTAGTACCCAAGCCAAAAAGCCAGAAGATGTAGCATCTTCTTGTCCTCCCATTGAGTCATGGCAATGCTCTTAGAAGGCAGAAATTCCATTTTCTCCTCTCCATGCTAACTGCCACATCTCAGTTGGTCCCTCTAACCCTTAAGCACCTACAGTTCTCTAATCAGTCTGTTTTGTCTTTACCCTCTGAACTCCCCTCAGCATGTTACAAGACAAAAACCCCAACTCCACACTCTTGAAATCTTCCAGCAGGATGTAAGTCAGATGTCTTCTCCTTCACCATGAGGCTCCAGCCTGTCTGTCCAGCCCTCCAATTAGGCTAGGCCTCCTGCCATAGCCCTGAACTCCTGTGATTTTCACCTGTCCCTTCCAGACTCCACCAACACTCTGCAGAGGTTGTGCCTTTTGGTTGCCACATCCTGCTGTCCTTGACTGGAGTTTCTCATATGGTGTGATTCAGATGCCACTAGTTCTACAAAATTTCCTTGATCACATCTTCCAGTGAAGTTATTTCTCTCCTTTCACTACTGTAGCACTTGAGGCAGCACTTAACCACTGTACTTAATGTATTTCACTTTCGTCTCCAAGTTAAGGCTGAGAACTTACCAAATATAAACATACCACACTATTTGAAGACTATTATACCTACATTAATATCAAGGACTGGTTAATCATTACCTATTATTAATAATAACCAGCTCTGAAAACAAAACCCCCAAACCCAACAAGAGTTCATAGTCATTCCAAGTACTAACTGAGCTCAAGGGAGCTTAATTATCAGGATAATCTGTCTGTCTACCCATATACCAGTTAGGATTAACACTTATCCACACCGTGTTTTAGTATGCAAATCAGCTACTATTTGGGTCGCAGCTTACTCTAAAAAGGCATTTCAAAGATTTCCAAGAGTCAATGTCAAGGGAAACTTCCAGTAAAATGTGCACTGTATTCATTTTTAATGTATGTGTAGTTTTAAAATAAACATGCAAATACCACTACAAACTTTTATCAGACGGCCTGTTAACATTATATCCTCAGCTAACCTGTTCCATGAACTCTTGAAGGGCAAAGATGCCACCACCTTTCTATCTAAGTACTAAAGAAAATTTTCTCAAATGACAAGTCAATTCATCCATCTAAGTTCACGGTGAGTCATAGGTAGAAATAAAATGCACACAAATTGCCAAGTGACAGAGGCAGAAAGCAAGGTAAAGTTAATTGAGGTTCTTAGCTCTTATATTTATTGTTTGCCACCAAACCAGTTCCTGTCACTGAGAATCTGTTGCAAGTATGGCCAGTGTTCACTTTACTTAGGTACTATATGAAAGAGATCAAAATGTGCAATGACTCAGGAAGACTGCCAGTGTAACAGATATGCCTTGCTAGGATATGAGACATAAAAATGTGTTTTATTCTTGTCAGTGAAGTTACTGCTATTAAATGAAGTCTGTGTCCTGAGAGGCGAGGTTGTTTAGTTTGCCTTGTCTCACACTGTTTCATCTCAAGGTCATGCAATGCGCAGCACAGATCTGAGAGAGCATGCTAAGTCCTGTTCCTCTGCAGTCAATTTGAATCATTTGAGGACTGTCTACCTAGTTGGTGAATTAAAGTTCCTTTTCTTCCCTGAAACTTAATCCCTTTGAGGACAAAAAACTTCATGAGGTAGTCTAACATGGAAAAATCAAGTTAGTATTGTTAGGGGCTACATCTAGCAAGTCAGGAAATGGGAAAAAATTAAAAATTTAGATACTAGTGCATTTGGATTATCCATGCTAATTCAGATAATATGATATATGAAATACACACAGAGACAGACTCTATAATTTGTTGTTTTACTGTGGGAAATCTGTTATACAGATGGATATCTGTACTATACATTTCACTTCTTTTCAAATCACAGATTCAATGTACTATGAGTACTGTGTAATTTCTGTATCTTCAACATCCATATGATTTTAACATTAACAGTCCCAACTGGAAGAACCTTAACTTTTGAAAATAAAATCATTCTGGGGGGAGGTTTAAAATCTGAAATAATCAGAATAGGCACATTTATTTCACATGAACCTAAAATGCAAAGAAAGAGATTGACGTGCACTTAATACGTATTTGAAGTCTTTGTAACAGAGAAGAAAACTTATTACAAAATTTAGATATGAGACATCAGCATCACTAAAGAAAAAGTTGATTAGACAATGGCTTCCATGTACATTTGACTATCGAGCCTTAAAGACTAAAAGTAGAATCAACTGCAGACATCTCAGGTTCTTACACTAAATTGTTTCAGTTATATCCCCACAGACTCACAGAACAGGTATTTTTCCTATTGTTAACAAAAGTACTGTGGTGCTAACAGTGCAGTTTAATATTGGAGATAAAAACTAGAGAGTATAATTATAAAATACAAAATTCAGTAAACTTTAGGAAAAACTAAACATGTAAGAAGTTGAGACCCGTTTCTGTTTCACAGAGAAATACTCAACAGAAAATGTATTTCTAATTCTGAATTTCTGGCCCAAATTTGCCACACACTCAAAACAAATTACCTACACCCCATCCAGCTATTACAAAAACTGATGGCATTCCAAGAGCAAATCTATTTCTTTAGCTTGCCCAGTGAAGCAGAAAGAAGACAGAAGATACTGGTGGGAGAAGGAGAAGGACAGACTCTGGGCTGTGCTCCACCTAGGCCCCAAAGCTGCAGATTCAGGGAAACCAAGGTCAGCACAGAATCTTCCACTTACACTATAGTCCATAAACTGTCTGTTTAGTTAAGTTTGGGGCTTTTCATTTTTGAAGTTTACCACTCTATACTTTCTAGAAAAAATTCTTTAAAGTACACATAAACAGACACTGAAAATAATACAATTCAGATATTCAGGTGAGGTACTTGAATTTATATTTAGGAGGTGACTTTGTCAAGATGATACTTGACAAAATATGTATTTACATTAACAACTTTAAAAAAAGGCATAACAAGTTAATATAAATCTGCTATCAATTTCAGCCCGAACAACCTTAAATATTTTTGACTCCATGACTAAATGTTAATTACTACCCTACCTAGCAAGCCACTCAACAGCTCTGTATTTATTAATTTTGCGAGACCAAAGACTCATACCAAAAATAAAAAGAGGAGGAAAAAAGGCAACCATTTACACTTACTAAGAAAAGCAAACATTTACTTCAAATTGCAGTACAGGCTTTTCAATCACAAAAAGAAAGAAAAGAACAGTGATCTGACAGTGGTCACATCCTGTGCAAAAAATGTGAGATACAAAAATGATAACACAAGGTAGCTGAACTGCTTACACTGCAGGGAAAAGGACATACAGTAGCTGAAATATGGCACTCCTGGGAATTAACTTCCTAAACCAAACAGAATGCCTTTGAAATGATTAAATTTATTTGTGTATTAGTAAGAAAGCCCCACCACCATAAATAGTACAATATTTAAAAATTAAAAAAAAATCATATCTATCTAGAATAGATAGTGTATTTGAACTGTTAGACCTCTTTAAGTGCAGAAGGTGGTTCAGGTTTTACCTTTTTTTTTTTTAATTTAATAACTGCCCATACACTTTACGAAGTTCCATTCAATTGCAAAAGCCAATTTAAATCAAGGAAAATGTTACCAAAGTTGCATAATTTCATTTGGGACTGTCAGCAGGTTAAAGTCTCAAGTCTTTAACACTCATTTTTAGTCAATAAAAAGTTCAAAAGTTCTCAAATCTTCATTTTATCCTCTTGAACTTGCCCTTCTAAATGATCCTCAGACTGCAATTCCTAGTTTGCAAATAAAAGAATGCAATATGCATCATACTTCAAGAAAAGATGACGATGTCGAGCTAACAGGCTTCTGGATCTTCTCTCTGCTCCTCTCAACCTTCTTGATGATTTCTGCCACTATGCACACCGACGAGGTGAGACCCAGAAGAAACAGTAAGTCTGCAGAGAAAACGAGGTTTTACCGTTCTGTGAACTTATATTTTCAGAGGTTAATAGCTTATGTTTTTCTAGCATTTTACCACAGCTTTTAAAATACATTATTTCCCAACCATTCCTTGAGGAGCCACAATTAGCCTCAGTTTAAGGATAAGGAGAGTACAGCTCAAATGTACCAAATGACTTACCCAAAGTCCCACAGCAAGGACAAGCAGCACCAGAGAACTAGAACCCAGAGAACAAGTCCTCTGACTGTTCTCCCTGAACAATAACCTGAGAATCACAAACTTCAACAGCAACACAACCAAGAGGAGTTTTCTGTTTTTTAAAGGCTGTTCAAGCAGTGGTGAGTAACTTGATTGAAATCTGCATCTATTCCACTTGCAAGTTACTGTTAAAAGACCATGTCTTTACAATTGTGTTCACACTATCACATTCTTATTTACTGCTTCAAAAAATTTCACCTGTCTTCTTAAAGCTCCATCTTTTTTTTAATTTTTTTTTTTATTAGTTGGAGGCTAATTACTTCACAATATTATAGTGGTTTTTGTCATACATTGACATGAATCAGCCATGGATATACATGGTATTCCCCATCCTGATCCCCATTCCCACCTCCCTCTCCACCCAATCCCTCTGAGTCTTTTTTTTTAAAGAGGAAAGAATATGAGTATGAAATTAAAGTCCTGAAATTAAACTAGTTCGACATTAAGATTAACTTACAGCAAAAAATAGTGATCACAGATATCCAAATTAACTTTAAAAACCCAAGAGTGAGAACTAGCATTATCATAAAATGCATCCGTCCTCACACTTACACAGGAAGATTAACTTTTAAATGTACTATATGATGATACATTTCATGCACAGTGTATGAAAAACAATGTCTGTTTTCCACATCAGGCTTCCCTGATAGTTCAGTTGGTAAAGAATCCACCTGCAATGCAGAGGCCCCAGTTCAATTCCTGGGTCAGGAAGATCCGCTGGAGAAGGGATAGGTTACTCACTCCAGTATTCTAGGACTTCCCTTGTGGCTCAGCTGGTTAATAATCCACCCGCAATGCGGGAGACCTGGGTTCAATCCCTGGGTTGAGAAGATCCCCTGAAGAAGGGAAAGGCTACCCACTCCAGTATTCTGGCCTGGAGAATTCTATGGACACAGTCCATGGGGTCACAAAGAGTCGGGACACGACTGACTTTCACTTTCACTTTGCACATCAACTTAGTAAAACTCTGTTTTTAGGGCTTTTATTTCATAAAATAAGATGTGCAAAATTAGCAAATAAGAATAGGAAAATGTTAGCTCAACAACCAAAATGGTAATTTTAAAGATGAAACATCTGGTTTTTAGTGAGCTTAAATCTAGTTTTTTCTTCACACAAAATTAAAAAGTTATCAACTACAATTACTCTGTCTTTCAGAATCACCAAATATGATTTTGACAAGTGATAACCTATAAAAAATTAACAAGAAAAAAATTACCAGAAAAGTTTAAAACCAGATTTGGGAGAGTGACTCCCCTAAATGTAATTCCAAATAGAAACAGAGTACACACATTTTTCAAAGCAAGCCACTTATTTGACTTTTTAAAAGAAGTTTTCTTAGAACAAATACATTAGAAAATATTTAAACTCACTTATAATATATAAATTATAAAACATAACATTTCTTTTACCCAGTATACTTAGGCTCTCAGTCTGAAAAACTTTCTGAAGTGGAGGAAAGTAAATAACTAATAACTGTCCCATGATGGATCCAAGAACTGCGTAGCAAAACATTTTATTACTGCAGAGTCCAATCTCAAACACAGATTTGGTCTGTTGGCAGAGCAGAGGGTTCAGTTATTACTCCTTGGTCATAGAAGCAACTTCTTTACTATTATATTCACCTCTAATTTTTAATAAGCTGGACTGAATTCTACAATACTAGTACATGAAATCTCTTAATTAACTATATTTTGGAATAATTCACACGGAGGAGGGTAAATTTTAAAGCAGCTTTTCTTTATCAAAGACTTTCTTTCAAAGTGATACTAGGTCTTTTCTGGCTGCCCAGTGGTTAAGACTCTATGCTCCCAATGCAGGGGGGCCCTGGGTTTGATCCCTTGTTGGGGAACTGAAAATCCCACATGCTGCACAGCACGGCCAAAAATAAAAGTGATTCTATTAAAAAATAAAGGCCACAGAAACTTCCTTTAGCATTTCAGAGCATTAAGAAACTTTTTTTGTATATGCTTATTGTCTAAATCATTTCATTAAGGTACATAATCTAAGAAACTTTCTTGAAGACTGGACTTAGTTACATGTATACTGAAAAAGTAAAAATGCCTTTCATAGAACAAAACCAAATACTATAGCTTCTTTAAAAATTAAGTCTAAATTAATGACAATGCACTGTACTTGGAAAGTTCGAGCATGGGTGAATGGTAGTAAACAGTTAATTATTCCTAAGGTGCTCTAAAATTGAAAGGGTCAGACGGCAAATATAACTAGTTTCCAACAACAACATGCTCTGGAAAAGTACCATTAGGTTCTAGCCCACTAATTTCTATCAAAGCACTTCCATCAAAAGAAGACCATCCACCCTAAGATACAGAATGGGAAGAAAAGAAAATTTTAGATGTCCTAAGTTTCGACACACTGATGGAGACAAACTGCTCCTGTACTTTCTAACAATACTTTCTTCTATAATGAGAAGGACGTACGCCATCTTAACAGAAGCCATGAACTTTGTCCTATGCTCAGATGTTAACCTGAACCTATCACGTAGCTACAGGTAATAAGAAAATGAAGGGAGGAAAAATCAGGTGATGACATCTGTGATTTACTTTGATCTTCTGGCCAAAGTTAAGGCTTATCTTCCCAAATCTCCCATCCCTGTTAGGACACATGTCTGTAGGAAGGCTATATCTGGACCTGTAACCATGGCTACAAAAGCAAGCAAAGCTAAAAACCTTGCCCACTTACAGAGAGTAGTACTCTACACAATTGAATTAGCCAGCTACAATCACTCAAGCATACCTGCGATCTGGAACTCAGTGCATTGAACATGTCAAAAAACACAAAGCACGTGAAAGTCATTGTTGTGTCCCGAGGTGTTATCACATTGTCTCGCAGCTGTTGAGAGGAGAAAAAGATTTTCAGTTGGCTGAATTTCATGGACAAATACTACATGCTTTTAAAGGCCTAATATTTTCTTTCTCTTAAAATATGAAAGCTTTAGTCTAAGATATAAGACATATAAGCAACTTAAATTTCCCATACACCATTTAAATAAGTCACCTAAAGAATAGCTGTAGTCTACATAAAGTAAAAAGTCTTCTCCCAAACTGTAAACTGGATATTAAAAAACAACTCTCTTTTTTAATGACATTAAAATAGCTATACTAAAGCCTCAGATTTTCTAACTTCTACCCAAATATTCATGTTAATTTTTATTGTATTTGATATTTTTCTGCATATTTAAATAATTCTAAAATATGAATCAGGAATTCTATTAACCCATTAATACTGAAATCAAACTATTTTTAAATGTTTATTCTATTTTTGAAGGTTATCCTAACTTCCAGCCTTCTGTTTAATATACAAAAATAATGGAATCCTGTCATACAGAATGCGTATTAATAAAACAGCTTATCCAGTGAGTATACCTCCCGCCAGAAGACAAACAAAGTCCCACAAACAATGATTATTGAGGAAACAAGTATTTTAAGTATCAGGTTTTTGGTCAAAATGCTGTCTTTCCAGTTGCGTGGAGGTTTACGAATGACATCTTTATCCACTGGTTCTACTCCAAGGCTTCAAAACAAACAGAAAAGTGAATTAAAGTTTTAAGTAAAATTTGGATTTATTACTTTCACAAGTTCATTGACCTCAATTATCCCAGAAACTAAATGCCTTCTAATGGGAAACAAAATGTTGAATTATGAACAAAACCTTGGCTATGATCACTCAAAAATAACCATAAATTTTATCACTCTTTGCTGTTTTGGTAGGGGACCTGATAATCAAATTTCAAACTGCCCCATTTCATTTATATCTAACTTATTTCAAATATGGATGGCCTGAAATACACGACTAACCAACTGGACTCTGAAATATCTTTCATGCAAGGAAGTTTCAACTAGGATAATCTATTATACATTGATACATATTACTCTGTTAAGAAAGCGATATCTAGGACCCCGTTATTATAAAAGAAAACATTAGATGCTCAATACTACAACACTGAAGTAGTCCTTCAATACTTTTCCAAAGTCTCTAAGACTGACAGTGGCACCTTGGTGACAGCACTAAACAGAGAGAGATTTCTCCATTACATTGTAAGAAGCAAAGCCTACTGCAAGGACAGGGGCTATACCTGTTCCCTGCTCTGATCTCAGTGTAAAAGCTCAGATCATAATGCATGAATGAGCACCCCAGAAGAATAAATGCTATGCTCACATCACACAACTTCCAACAAACATGATGCCGCAGAGATTTCGGATGCTACCCGGGAATGAAGTCTTAGAGTTTAACTATCAGGATATAAGGCTATCCTTGTCCTTCTAGTTTACAAATGAGGAAACTCTTACCTCTGAGCTGGAGGTCCATCCATAATAATATTGATCCACAAAATCTGCATGGCATTGAGAGGATTGGGAAAGTTCATTAATGTAGCCAGTGAGATTAAAGTTAATGCTGCTATACTCCTATCAAAAGAAAGAGTTATTTTTAAAAATGGATCAACATTGTATAATTCTTGCTAATTTTATGACATCACTTTCTTAGCATTTAAAACTCTCATGTTACTACTGTTCTTTTAAAGGAAGCCTATATTTCCAAGTAAACTACTGCTTCATTAGTGTGAATATTTCAAAGAGTTAGCCCTTATGATCCACAGCAATTCAATAAAGGATTTGCAAAGTGTTTAGATAACAACAACAAATAGAGGAAGTTTTTTTTAACTGAGTTCAGATAACAGTTAACAGTTTCAGTGGTATTTTTATAACTGTTTTGTAACAGACTACAATAAAAGCCCTTCTGCTTTTGGAAAAAGATACCAAGAAGAAAAATTAAAATTTGACACCCCTTTCTTAGTTACTTCAGAAGCTATTAAATAAGCCACAACAGTTAATATATTTTGATGATGATATACACAAGTAATTACATTTAGAACCTCTTTATCATGCCATGTTTAATTTTAGGACAAAATTCAGTTTTCACACTGGAAAACTTACATATGAGAAATAAGAGCCCAGATTATAGGCAATCTGTTTCAATTCTACTTTTTGAATAATTTATCTATAAGACCCATAAGTTTGTCACAATTTCTTACAAACTTACGTGCTCAGCTGGAATCTAACAAAATTTTTAATGTTATTATAAATCCCTTTACCCTCTTCAATTGCAGACCTGAAAGTTAAGAGTAAGATTGGGTGAGAAAATATAATCACAAAAAAATAAGGATACAGCAATACTGTGGAACTAATTTTGAAAACAAGTTCCCAACTGATAAAACCCATACATTAATAAAACGATTTTACTTACATAATTAAAACTAGAAAAAAAATACAAAACATTATCTGGCAAAGCATTAAAGTCAAGCCTCCTACTGTACCTGAACTAATTTCATAACACAATAATTTTTATTCTTAAAGACATTTAAACATTAAAATCACATACTGTGTTTCTATACAAGACAATAATACACATTTATAATAATAAAATAATCTTCTTTACCCCTCCCAAGTTTATTTTTCTTAAAGGTACAGATGTATGTATGGTAAGGGGTTAAGTTAATGCAGGTCAGAAGTTAAATGGCAATGACATACATAAGAATTATAGAATTTAACTCATCTGTTATTCCTAGATACAACTGGATATATGTTGTACCAGAATTACAAAAAGAATGTATTTTACAAAGAGTCATGAAAATCCTCTCATTCATTTTGCTCAGTCTAGGAAAACATGTATTTTATAAACAAACTATCCTATCTTCTGAGATTTTTATACAGCTCTAAGAATGGAAATTAAATATCTTCTATCCTTAGAAGAACTTTTCAATTCTGGGTCCTGAGGGCCCACATGCTCCACTTGAGGCCACATGGGTTAATGACACCAGCAGGTTGTTATGGAAGAATCTTAATGAGAAACTATGGATGAAACAAATCTATTCAAATGATAAACTGCATCACTGGCAACGTGAAGAATTCCTGACATAAGGAAACAGATATGGATGGGACCTTTATTTATAATCCTTGTTGTAAAGCCAGGCACATGCTTATTCCTAAGAGCCTGAATTTAACTTTAATAAAGCCACATGAAGGTCCACTGCTGTACCACCACACTAGTGGCAAGGAAATGTGAAACTTGGCTGGTACTCAGTATTATTTCTTAAATGAAGAGCCCTGCCATCTTGATGTCCATTCCATACAAATAATTTCCATACAAAAAAAACTACATGCTAGGACACAAAACGAGATTGCTTAGTTTAGTAAAATAGTTTAGCTCATCCAACATCTAAAACTGCTGAACACTTTTCTGCAAATGAGGTGCAGAAAAGGATAGGAAGAAACTCTCTGATGTGCATTCACTGAAAGAAAACTTACATGATGGTTTGGAAATCATCATCCACCAGGATCATGTCAGCTGCCTCTTTGCAAACATCTGTGCCAGTCTGACCCATCGCAACTCCAATGTCTGCAGCCTTCAGAGCAACTGCATCATTTACTCCATCTCCTGTCATGGCCACAACCGACCCGTTCTTCTGCAGAGACTGGGGGTAGGAGGGGTGAAGTGGGAGGGAGGCGTTCTGATTAGAATGTTGCTTTCACACAGATAAGGAGGTATACAAATCCTCTCTTTTTCCTTCTCACATAATCAAAGGCTGGAAATAATACAGACCATCACTTTCTCAAAAAAACTTCAGTATATGGAGGGCTTAGGATAAAGCTTAGAAAAAGCTTCCATTAATATTCCCATGTGTGAGAACTCTATGTGTAAAGCCTGATGCAGAGTCAATTACACACCGGTTCTCAGGGCAGTTGTGTCTCCCAGGCACATATAGCAATGTCTGGAGACATTTTTGAGTGCCATGGCTGTGTGGACATTACTGGCGTCTAGAGGATAGGCGCCAAGGGTGCTGCTAAACTTAAAACACACAGGAGAGCCTCCTGCAATGAAGAATTATCCAGCCCATAAGTGTAACAGTGCCAAGGCTGAGAAACCCTGACCTTACTACAATGGAGCACTATTATGACTAATAAGCCAATGAATTGACAGATACCATGTCAGCTGCTTTGTATATATTTGATTAATATAAATATCATAGCCCTTTAAAATTGTTCATGATCTCAAAACATTTTTTTCTTGTTGTATTTATAGTAATTATTCCTATTCACACTGGGATGATCTGGCTATAGACTCCTATCAGAACAGACTTACACTATTCAAACGTTAAAAGAAGACTGTATTTGCAGATATTTCCTTAAAGTTTTCTTCTACATCTTCCTTTGCTAAGGAAATTCTGTTCATGTTTCCATCCCAGGCTTTAAAAAGCACCTGTTTTGCTTCACAACACTTCTGACTTTAGTGCTCTAAGAATACTTCCAGTAGTAATGCAGACAGACAGAAGCATTTGGGATACAGAGATGAAACAATGTGATTCTTAAAGACCCACCTTGATAATTTTCATCTTGTGCCTTGGGCTGGCTCTGTAAAACACTGCAACCTATTAAAACATAAGATATACTAAAAATCTTCACCATTAAGAATTATCAGAATAACCTATGTACGTAAAAGTAAGAATATTTCTTAAATTACCAATTTGAACTGTCTGTTTTGCCATAGAGATCAAACTCAAGAAAATGCCATACACTTGTTAGGACACTCATTCGACAGGGCCATTTCAAACTTTTAAGTACTAAAGGAAATACACAATCTAAACAATTCACCCAGTTTATCCCAACCATGTTTAAGCTCTGGAAAGAAAATAGCCTTATTCTTGAAACATTGCAGAAACAGAGAAAGGAAAAGCTCTCTTGTATGTTTCCTCAACACTGACAGTCAACTAAAATAGCCTTTTCCTTTTGTTCTGTCTTCATGAGATTTAAAGAAACAGCTGCTTCTCAATGTCTGTTGACCCCTTTTTTCTGTTAAACAGTATGAAGTGACTGCTTATGCTCTTCTACTTGGTTTGATTCATTAGGTCATCTTCCTTTTTGTTTCCACTTGCTTATATGATCTTCTCTCTCCAAAGAATATATTTAATCCCTTTTCCTCATGCCACCTCCTGGTCTCCTAAAATGCTCCCAAATGTGCCCCAGCTAGTCGTCCACGAATCACCTGTACCCCCACTCCCTCCCACACTGCTCTAACTTGCTTACCCACGAGACACCGGCAGTTCCCCAGTCCTCCCCAACAGCACTATGAGGAGAGGAGAGGGGTAGGTGTCTTCCATTCCCTTCTTTAGTCACAAATCTTACCTGCAGCCCATGCTGCTCTGGGGACTACCTGCCATGGGTCATAAGGATCATAACCACTGCGTTCCCATCACTCTTCCCAACACACCCAAGCCAGGTGACTTTAACACCTACGGGACTCACCATTCTCTTTCCTACTCTCCCAGAGGACAGGTCCACACTAGCTTTCTCTCCTCATGCTTCCAATGTACCCCTTTCCTAGCCTCACTCTCAGCTGACAACTTCATTTCCTCCTTCAAAGCAACAGAGTCACAAGAAAGCTTCGGCAATTCCCACCACCAACATAATATATACATCTACTTATCTTAAGACTAAAAGCTCTATGAGGCAGAGATTTGGCCTTGTACCTCCAGTGCTCAATAAACAGGTGTGAAATGAATAAGTGACTGAATCTTAGGATCACCAATAAAGACAATTTCCAGGTTCTCTCTGAATTTTAATAAAGGTCTAAAACTTTCCCAGGGGTTAACTATACTATCACATTATTGACTACCCTTATGTCCTCTAGGTACCATGAATCACATAATATAGGTGGAAAGCATTCTTCCTTTAAGAAGGTTCAAAATCCATTTGGAAATTCTTTAGTGTGTCTTTAAAAAGTCCTATACACACAGATGGTCAAAAAGCACATGAAAAGATGCTCAACATTGCTAATTATTAGGAAAAATGCAAATATAAACTACCAGGAGGTATTACCTCACACCAGTCAGAATGGCCATCACTAAAAGGTCTACAAATAATAAATGATGGAAAAGGTGTGGGAAAAAAGGGAACCCTCCTTACACTGTTGGTGAGAATGTAAACTGATACAGCCACTATGGAGAACAGTATGAAAGTTCCCTAAAAAAAAAAACAAAACAGAGCTAACATATGATCCTCTAATCCCACTCCTGGGCAAATGTACCCTAATATTCACTGCAGCACTATTAATAATAGCCAAAATATGGAATCAACCTAAATGTCAGTCAATAGTTGAATGGATAAAGAAGATGTAGTATATATAAATATGTGCCACTTGGTGTATACACACATACACACACACATATACATATGGGGCTTCCCATGTGATGTAGTGGTAAAGAATCCACCTGCCAATGCAAGAGACACGTGTTTGATCCCTAGATTGGGAAGATACCTGGAGAAGTGAACAGCAACCCACTCCAGTATTCTCACCTATAAAATCCCATGGACAGAGGAGCCTGGCGGGCTACAGTCCATGAGGTTGCAAAGAGTCAGACATGAGTGAGTGCGTGTATATACACACACACACACACACACACACACACACACACACAAAGGAATACTCACTCAGTCATAAAAAAGAATGAAATAATGCCATCTGCAGCAAAATGGATGGACCTAGAGATGATCTACTAAGTGAACTAAGCTAGACAAAGACAAGTATCACTTTATATTGCTTACATGTGAAATCTAAAACAAAAAATGATACAAATGAACTTATATAAAAAGAACTTACATGCAAAACAGAAACAGACCCAACAATATAAAAAATAAACTTGTTACCAAAGGGGAAGGGTGCTGCTGTGTGTGTGCTCAGTCGTGCCCAATTCTTTGTGATCCCATGGACTGTAGCCCACCAGGCTCCTCTGTCCATGGGATTTTCCAGGCAAGAATACTGGAGTGGGTTGCCATTTCCTCCTCCAGTGGATCGTCCCGACCCAGGGATCAAACCCACATTTCTTGTGTCTCCTGCATTGGCAGGTGAGTTCTGTACCACTAGCGCCACATGGAAAAGGGGAGGAGAGTAAATTAGGAGTTTGGGATTAACAAATACACACTGCTATATACAAAACAGATAAATAAGGACCTACTTCTACAGCACAGGGAACTATACTCAGTATTTTCTAATAACCTATGAGGGAAAAGAATCTTACACACACACACACATAAACATATAGAATGAATCACTCTGCTGTACACCTGAAACTAACACAACACTGCAAATCAACTACACTTCAATTAAAAACAATTTTTTAATAAAATAAAAAGGACTCAGCTGCATATGTATTTAAAATGTACCAGTTACCTTCTAAGTGAAAATTCTACATTACTGCAGAAATTTAATCATGTAGCACACAGCATGGAGTAAAAAAGCATTTAGCAAAGACTACAGATTTTACAGAATTTTTAAATAAAAGGTTAATTACTAATTACAAACAGTCAGGTCATATAGAGTAAAAATTTGTTTGTTTCAGGGCAAATCATTCAAAACATTCAGATCACCCCTTCACAGCCACTATAGGTTATCACTAACAATGGCAGTGAGGATAACAGATCAACTGTTGGGCTGAAAACATACTTCTTTTGTATAGTCACAAATTACTTTGGCATGCATCCAGTACACCTATTGCTTGATATAGATATTTCAGCATTTCAAAGTTTTGATGGCAACTCAAAAACAAAAGCAGCTTCTTTGAGACTAAGCAGATCTCCAATACAAAGCTGAAGACTTACATGGAATATAATGCTGCACAGAGTAAAGTCTCCTTAAAGCACCAAGATTAGCACATCAATCTTTTTCGTTGAGTAACAATATTGAAATTTAGTGACACAAAATTATGGCCTGAAGATATTAGGTATTAAAAAACAACTAGAAGTGAGTAAAAACTGAACTACTTCATTTTATCAGAACTAGGATTGAACTGGGGCATAACTGAAATTCCTCTATTATAATCTTTTTAACCTTTATGTCTGTTTCTCTACCTAAAAGGGGGTGAATATACTGATCCAAGAGAAGCAAAGCATACAATCACTTGGTATAGGAGCAGGAAGGGCGAATCAGAATGAGCACAGTGGACCAGTATAAGGACAGCAGAAAAGAGAGTCAGCAAAGAGTTCGGGGAATGCTGTGGAGGGAAATGGAGAAAGGCTGTGTACTTTCAAAGGAACCCACAAAAGGGTTTTTCTCTTCTTATGGATCGGTCTTCTCAGCGTCATATTTGTGGTCCATACTCACAGCTCTTTTGATCAACATTAACAGAAATGAAGTTATAGAGAAGAAAGTAGGTAAATAAAAATAGGAGAGGCTAATGAAAGAAACATTATTCTTGACATTAAAATAATCTCCCAAAGGTTCCCAAATCTTCCAGTATAGATTTAAAAATACCTGATGTGTTGAAACAACGTATCAAAAATTAAATAGTACACGAACTGGGATTTTATTATAGGGATCTGGTTAATTAGTAAAAATACAAATGGAGGCAGTGCTATAAAAAACAAACGAGAAAAGAGAATGTCTATTTTTACCAACAACAAACACACTCAGGAAATCATAAATAAGAAAACATGGAGAATTCCCATATGGAAACTCAGCTTCCACACTATTTTTCATTGTCCTAGGTCAAAAAGGACAGAGAAATGTTAAGGGATTGGGAATGTGTGACTGAATTATGGGAAGAGGAGAGCCAAAAAACCTTTTAAAAAGGAAAAGAATCAATTAATATGATTTTAGTACATGTAGTAAAACCTCACAGAGCTGGCAATTTATGAAGAAGTTTTGTTTTGCTTCTAACACTAATAAATGACAAGCTCTTCAAATTGCTCTAAAGTAAAAGCCCAAGGCCAAGATTTAAGAGTTACATGAACACACAATAAAAATGGGAAAAAAGACCAAGTAGGGTTGAGGGCATGGAGGGTCAGGGGGAGAAGCCAGCTCAGCTCAGCTGAAACGACTGAAGTAATTCATTGATAGTATTTGAAGAAACCTGGGTTTTCAAAAGACATGATAAACCTGAAAGAAGCTCTGGTATTTATCAAATAGGATGACTTTAAGCAATTCAATGAGCTGCTCTCTTTGGAATAACATCAGAGCATCTGCCACAACTGATGCAAAAAAACTCTTATTTGGAAATGACCAATGATGTAATTTGTTAGGCTAATAATGCAATTTATAACTTACTTCTCTAACTGCCTTTCTTCCTTTTCTAACTGCCTTTAGGTTGGTTTTCAGAGTTCATTAGCATTTTTATCAGAGAGCCAGACAGTGAACTGAAGAAAGCAAATAAAATGAAACTTCCAGTCTATCTGATGTCACTACTTGTTAGCATCTCTGGGAAAAGGCTAAACAAAGACCTAATGGGAAAATGTTAAATTAACCACAGATTTCACATACATTTGCTAATGTACATTCTGTCTCAATATCCTCAGGAAACTTAATACAGGATTTACCCTTTAAGAAATAAATGTAGGGAAAAACTATCAGGAGAGGACACACACATCCATACTGCTCCCAGATGCTCTAAAAAGGCATTTCAATGAAAAAAGGACTCTTTTCAACAAATGGAACTAAAATGACTAAATACACATACATTAAAAAAATGAACCTTAACCCACTTCTCACAGACAAAAATAATTCAAAACGGATCAGAAACATTAGTATAAAACCTAAAAGTATGAGACTTTTATTTCAAAAAATAGGAAAAAAATCTTTGTGACCTTGGATTAGAAAGAGTCCTTAGATAACACATCAAAAGCATGATCCATAAAAGAAAAAAATGATAAACTAGATTTCACCAAAATTGAAAACTACTGTTTTTTAAAGTAAAATGGTAATAGACTAAAAAGATAAACCAGAATGGGAAAAACTTTTTTCCAATCAAATATCTGATAAAAGACTTTTATCCACAATATATCCACTTTTATCCACAAAATAACTTCCAAAATCCAAAAATAAAACATTTTTAAAAAATAGGATGGTTAGACAGCTCACTAAAGAAAATATACGAATGGCAAATAAGCATATGAAAAGGTACACAAAATCATTAGTTGTGAGGGAAATGCAAACTGAAACCACAATAAGACATCATGATACACCTATCAGAATGGGCATGGGGAAACTAACCATGCCATGTGCTGGTAACCACTTATCAAACACTGCTGACTGGACTGCAAAACAATAAAGCCACCAAGTAAAACAACCTGGCATTTTCTTACAAAATTAAACACATGTTAACCATATGACCCAGCAATTACTCTCATGTATTTATCTAAGAGAAATGAATATTTATTTTCTTTCAAAGCTTATATACAAATGTTTTTAGTAGTTTTAACCATCATCAGCAAAAATGGAAAATAATCCAAATGTCTTTAAACTGGTTCATCAGTAACATACACTCAGTGTAGTGGAATCCTACTCAGCAATTAAAAAGGCATTATGCTAAATCAAAAAAACCAGATTCAAAGGCCTCATGGTATATGATTCCATTTTCAGCACTCTGAAAAGTCAAAAGTACAGGGACAGAAAACAAAATCAATGGTTGCCAAGTACTGGAAGCAGAGGGAGGAGCTGACCACAAGAGGATCTGGGATGGGAGGAGCCTGTGTAGTAGTTACAAGGACCACAGGCATCCATCAAAACTTAAGGGCTATACATTAACAAGGAAAAAGTTTACTGTATGCAAATGACAGCTCTTTAAAAAAAAAAAATCATACCCGCATTCAATTAAAACAGAACACAAGGATAAGAAGTATAAAGTAATGATCTGTCTCCATTCTGTACTTTATAAATACAAGCACCACTGTTAATTTTCCACAGTATCTTTCTCAGAGGAAACTTAGCTCTTGCTGAAGTTAACAACTTTGCACTGATATTCATAATGATCAGCTCATAGACACTCTCAACAATAAGACAGATCTCAATGATAAGATTGTGCCTCATGATTTAGACCAACAAACGTGGTGGCCATGTCCCAACTGTTTTCAAATGAATAGCTTCATTAACACTGCAGCAGAAGAGGTAATGCCTACAATAAAAGCCTTAGTCTCAAAGGCTCTGGTTTACGCCTACCTTTGGCACTATTTGTGAAAGTTGCTGGACATCCATTGCATCTATTTCTTCTCCTGAGACTGACTGGGAGGTTTTGGAATATAATCCCAGACGACTAGCTAAAGTGAAATGGGAAAGAAAACATAATTAACCAAACGGCTTTTATTTGATAGGGTAGTCAACATAAGGCTCACTTAATGATGTTATTAACTCACTTTCTCTAAAGTATAAAACATCCTTATACCAAGGGATTACAAGACAGACTATGGTAAAACAGATCAAACTGAATCAGTCAAGTCTTGAGTTTTCTGTTTGATTATTTTTGCTTAAATTCAAGAATAAAGAGTTTTCTTAATTCAACCCTAAGAATTTAAACTTAGGTACCATACCTAAGAATTTAAACAAGGCCATATGGGTTCTATTTAGGAGCTCAATTTTAACGAAGATCAAGAGTGCTTTTTAACTAAAAACCAGGCAAGATGGTGGCTCATCTGAGGTATTATGTGCATGTCTTCACAGTCGCTCAGTCATATCCAACTCTTTGTGACCTCACAGACAGGCCCACCAGGCTGCTCTGTCCATGGGATTTTCCTGGCAAGAATACTGGAGTGGGTTGCCATTTCCTCCTCCAGGAGCTCTTTCCAACCCAGGGAAGGAACCCAACTCTCCTGCAATGACAGGCAGATTCTTTACCACTGCGCCACCTGGGAGACCCATGAGGTATCATGTAGTTTTATGTAAATGAAAATAAACATTGAGAAATTTCTCTAGAAATAATCTTCCCAACAATGTTATTTTTTCAGTAATGTATTCTTAAAGTGTGAAATTCTTGTCTCAGTCTCTTTCCACATTAGTAAGAATTAATGACCTTTAGCACATTTTAAATTTATCAGTAATGAATTATAGTTTACAGGTTCTGGAAGATTAACTTCCATGTCCATTTTTCCCCCTTATATTTGGTGAAGTAATCTTAAATGGCATTCAAATAACATAGGCATAAATGCAATCAGACAATGGAAATACAGACAGAAGCTATTTTCTTTCAAGTTAGGTACAAAGTCTGCGTTTAAAAAATTATATTTAAGTTGAAAGAAAAACTAAATATTATAATTTCATGCATTCTTTCACATTCATGATCTAGTGCATCAGCATAGTGGACTATGAGACTAAAAATAATCAACTATCCTTTTATCAATATAATAATGTGATTTCACAATGCTTTAGTTATCTTCAACTAAAAGTATTATCTTTTTAACTAAAATAAAATTTTGCCCACAATTTTATAGAGTATGAGCAAACAAAAGCATCAGTTTTAACTGTACAGTTCAATATTTTGTAAACACACTTCATGTTTTAATGTTCCACTATGCACTGCAGTAATGTAAGAAAAACTAACAAAAACAAAGGAAGCAGCCTAGGTATACCGATGGCAACTGCAGTCTCCTGTGAGTCTCCAGTAATCATTTTTATTGACACTCCCGAGGCAATGAGTGTTGTAACAGCTTCTTTCACACCAGTTCTAGGAGGATCAATGATTCCCACCAGACCAAGGAACGTCAGTTGTCCCAATTCAGGACCAGAAGCCAAAGCAAGAACTTGGGAAATAAAATCCATAAAGAAAATGTGAATCACAAAAACATCAGAATTTACTTTACAAAATCTGGAGGCCATTAACACTTCTCACTCAGATAAATCACTTAGGACTAGAACGTCATTGCAGTAATAACAAATTTTAAAAATCAAAAATTATGACATGTGAAGATACTACAGTTTAATGGTTCTTGATATGGGTTTGCTTTAACTTATTAAAAATTAAAAGGAATAAGACTACAGAACTGTTCAGTAGAGAAAGCAGGAGAGGAGCAAATAGGAATGTTTTCACATAGCAAAACCTGCAGCTCCTTTCAGTAGAAACTATTGACTCTTTAAGAAAATACAATTAATTATTTGGAAAACTATAGGTTTGTTGAGCTTTAAAGTAAATTTTAAACAGACATCTTTGAAGGTGATTTCTACTATTGTATCTTCATCTTTCCATCTTACAGGCCTCCAGAATAATTCAATAGCTTTAAGTTCTAGAAGGCTATATTAATTAGACAACATGTAACAATTTTGTACACAACAAACTCTGGGAGGTACAGTTAATCTGTAAAGTAATTACAAAAACACTAATACCAACAAGAGTTTATATTCTTTCATTCTTTCTATAATATTAATAGGTATTTCTTATTTGTACCTTTGGTTCTCTTAAAACTACATAAATAATACCACCATACCACCCTTTATAGTTAGTTTCCTATCACCTTTAAGAACTTAAGATACAGGACAAATATCCATTTGGAAATCTGGAAATGACACTTCCAAATATCACTAAGCTTATTCTCAGAATTCCAGAACTTTGGCAGTAGCTACCTTATGAGCCAGAGGGATGTGTCTACATCTGGGATATTATACTAAAAGAGTGGACAACTTACCAAACACACACACACAAAGCGCACAAACTAAACGTGTATCTCGGCGGTAACTGAAAAGCCCCAGAGAGACCACAGAAGTATCCATTCTTACTCAAGCAGAAGGTATGAAGGATAAGATACATTTGGAGAACCATGGTTAGAGGAAAATGACTTCTTTTTGCAACACAAAATCTATGGAGATATGAGCCCCACCCAAAAGCTTTCACTCTGGAGGGAATGAGCCACAGGACAGTCCCTGTGTTGGGTCACATGGGGAAGATGGCAATAGAAGGGGGAAATGAGTATCAACCCACGTGTCAGCAAATTCTAAGCAAAGGACACCAGCTCCTGGCACCCTCAGTGGACAGGTGGTATCAGCCCAGAGGTCAATATTTTGTATTTATTTGTTTGCTTCTTTAGCATAAATGAAGATCTAGTGCTACTGTATGGGACAAAGGTATGTACACCTTTTCATGTGGAGGATCCCCAACTCCCTCCTTTATATTTAAAACATAAAAACAAAACATATTCCAATTTTAAAATTAACAATGACATGTATTTTAAGAAACTTAGGTTTTATAAGGTACAAAATAAGTTCATATCAAGTTAAACTTAAAATCTTTATTCATTTATTCTTTACTCTTCATCATGGCAATTTCAGCAGGGGGAGGAAAATGGAGCATAAGAAGAGGAAGAGATGTGAAGCAAGGGATAGATGACCAGAATGTTTCCCAGAGCCTGTGAAACAAAGATGTGCTCCACACCATGTCTGGTCTATTTCACAAAGTTACCACACCAAACCACACATACACAAAGCTCCACAGTCTTTCAGATTAAGAGAACTAGGCCAAAAAAAAAAAAAAAAAGTGTGATGCTTCTGTTAAAAAAATTAAGGAAAACAGGGAGCACGTATCATACTTTTAAGACTCTATAAATGCAAGTCAACTCAAAATCCTCTAGCTGTAAACTATTAAGAATAACAAAACACTGCCCTCAAAGGAAGCTACAAGAATATTTTTCTAAACCTACATTATAAGAACAGAAGTCCTGTAAATCTATGGTTCACCTTGCTTAAGTGAACCATGAATAAGAATAGTCTTTACATACTTGTTTCCTGCTCCCAGAATTGTGGTGCTTGACTTTCATTTTGTAAACAATAAAAAAATTAAGGAAGCCAACTCTTCTAATTTCCTTGAGAAAGACTATCGAAGTGCATGCATGCATGTATGTGTGCACGCGCCCATGGGCGCATATTCCCCACAAACCAGAACGTAAAGACCAGGTATGACCCTGACCCCTGATCTTCAACCCTACCCATGCTAATGTGTGTGTGCCCAGCTGACCCCCTCTCCCTATCACTGTCCAGTCAGCAGCATTTCACAAAGCCAAGTCTGGACACCTCTTTCCTCTCTGGTGACAGGCGGGAAGGAGTCAGCAACTACCTCAATTTAAAGAATTAGAGACTTAAGTCTCTTAATATTTAGGAGAGAATTTCAGATTAATAAACAAGACCAAGTGATGACATAAGGAAGGAGTAACATCACTTTACTTCCACTCATTACCCTTCTCACAAGATAAACTTTTGTCTAAAATAAAATTTCTGTCAGCTACTCAGAGACCAGTGCAGATCTCTAAGAACCAGAAGCTTCATATTTAGCTATGTTTTCAACTTTCTATGTTCTGGGGGCCAATTAATCAACTAAAACCTAGCATTTCAGAAACGGCAGGGCTCTACAAAGCCTGGATAGAGCTGGGCAGCTCAGATGTGAAGCACAAATTCATCTGCAATTAGCAGCACTACCTCTCCACCGAGGTGACTGTGCTGACATGGCCTTACCTCTGAGCCCTGCAGAGCCCATCTGGGCCTTCTCCTGCTGGTACAGATCTCTCTGCTGCTGGGTGAGTGCCAAGGTCTGCCCTTTGCTGTGATATGTAGTACAATACTTAATCACCTGTTCATAAGCACCCTTCATAAAACAAATCTCTGGTCTGTCCTAAGAAAAAACAGAGCAAATAAATTCAAGTTAGTTTTAATTCATATATATCAGCCACTGGGGTCAAAAACAAGCAGCATGGATTCTCATAATACACGAAGAAGTAACTCAAGCCTGAGGCTTTGAATAACACTTGAACTCTGATGATTAAAAGTTCACAAGAGAGCTTTCTGCATCCTTTTTAGAACACAGCATCTACTCCACCCCTTCAACTCCATACTGAAGGCACATCTACACTCAGCTCCATACTCCGAGATCTGAGCTCCTGACACAATAGGAACAGGAAAGAGGTTTAACATCAGCCCACAAGCAATGGTTCAGGCTTTCTACAATGCTGTTACATGCATATATGTGACTCCATTTAATGCTCACAACCAGCTTGCAATTGTGGGTATTAGCAGACTTTTTATCCTGGCTAAGTAACATTCAAAAGCTTACAATGAAAACCCGCAGTCCCCTGTCCAACCTCCTCACCTCCAGTCCTATGCTCCACAAAGGAAAACCAATTTTAACTCTTCTGGTTGTTTTTCTTGGTACTTATCGTCATGTTTTTAATTACATTTTTACAGCTACTTTTCTACTTGTCAATTTTATACTGTCTGCTGTGACAGGTGATAGTCTGGCCACCCCCACTCCCTATTCCTTCTCTCTCCATTGTTCTAATACACGCAGAACAAGAGTCACCAGTGTTCTGGTCACTTTCTAACTCCTCACTGCTGAGCCAAGTGGCCACTAGAACAGCTCGCAAATGTCTCAGCTCTCCTTGGAGGCACGTGGCAGAAATGTATATTCTTGCCCCTCGGTACCACTCTGAAGTCAGATGTGATTTGCTTTGGCCAATAAACATAAGCAGTACTTGTGTCTCTTCCAAGTGGTGATTTATGAACCAGTGCATAATGTGGCCCTCCTCTGTCCCTGGTACAACAGTGTGAGCTCACAGTAAGAGGAGCATCCATCTCCCTGGTCCCCAGGTAAGCAGATGCAGCAGAGGTGGCAGAAAGAGATCATGTTCTTTCCATGGCCTACATAAGCCAAATACATTTCTTCCTGTTCAAGTTTTGTCTTTCATACAGTTAATAATTGCCTCTTTTTTTATTTGCTTAGCTTCCTTTATACTTATTACTAATTAATTCCAAGCTCTTCCATGTCATATTATAAAGCACCTCTCAACGTATTCTGCACATGATCCAATGAGCAGGTAAGCTATTACTCCTCCTTTACAATATCTGAGGACCTCCGGCCTTTCCTTTTCTAGCTGATTTCCAGGCTTGCTACACAACTGGCTGGCATTCTGGAGCTTCCCTTCACCCCTCCACTGGTCAGAACTCACTGGGTTCTAAGTCTCCCTTTTCCTTAGAGTATACTCTTACCTTGGAATAACTTATCCATCAATATCACTCTAAGAAAGCTATGTGGGCTATGCATTTTGAGACTTCTGTGAAAACATTTTTATTTTACCCCCACATATGTTAAGTTCAGCTGGGAACAGACTTCCTCTCAGTTGAAGGCTCTATCACCTTCCAGTGTGCAGAGTTGCATCTGGAAAGCCTAAGCAGCCACTTAATTCCTAATCTTCGTGTATAACCTCCCTCCCCCTTGCCCTTCCTCCCTACCCTAACCACCTCTGAGATTGTTTAGAATTCTCCCTCAGTGCCTCAGATCACTTCAACCAGAGGCTTCAGTGTGTTTACTTCCTCACCCCCACCCCTGTAACCTACTCACTGTGCAAAGCAGCCAGTGGGCAATTTTATTCTAGAAGCTGAAGTTCTTCCTCTAGAAAATCTCCTGTTATTTGTTAAACTTGTCATTTTCTGTCATCACTATTATGTAGATGCTGGAACTCCTATATCTATTTTCTGATTTTCACACCTTTTCTTTTATATTGTCCACCTCTTTGACTTCTCTGCTTTCTGACAAACTCCGTAACTTTATTTGAAAAACAATCTATTTAAAGTATTTTGTTGTCATTTTTCATGGTCTCTGGAAATCTTCTTTAAAACCCAGCACTTTGTCTCTCTGAGATCCCTTTCTCTGTTGGCTTGGTCTGCATCTTTTATACTGAAGACTCTCCCCAAGGCTCTCACAAACCCTGTCTGTCTGTTTACATTCAAGACCGAAGCAAATAAAGGTCTAGAAACTCCGTGGGTACTGCAGGGTTTATCAACTGATGGCCCTCACAGTGATGATGAGATGAAGGCCAGGAGCAGGTAAGCTCTTCCGGTGAACAAAGAGCATACGCAGGACCCCTCCACACTGTAGGCATCTCCCCAGAACCAGTCAGCTTCTCTGAAGCTCTTCCATTTTCTGACACAGAGAAGGAGGATATGGGGAGACCTGCCCCTGCAGGCATTCTGAGAAAGTAGAGTTAGTAGCCAGGACAACAACTTTCCCTTAATCATCCTGTGTTTAGTCTTAAAGCTTAATTCTGCCTTCTATGCTTGTGCCCTGGATAAGATTTCTGGTCTGGCCTCAAAAAATAGAAAAGGTATGTGGAACATTTCTATCGACTCTTTATGAAGAACTTCAACCTGATCTCCTGTTTTAGCTCTGTATTTTAGGCCCCACCTTTAAAACATAAACTAATAAAAGAGGAAGTATAGGAAAGTCTTATCTTTTATTCACTGGTTGTCATTTTGGTAGGTTCCAGGGAGAGATCAGAGATAAATACAGATTGATTGCTGTTCAGTCACTAAGCCGTGTCCGACTCTCTGTGACCCTTTGGACTACAGCATGCCAGGTTTCCCTGCCCTTCACTGTCTCCCAGAGTTTGTTCAAATTCATGGCCACTGAGTCAGTAATGCTATGTAACCATCTCAATGTCTGTCACCTTCTTCGCCGTTTGCCTTCAATCTTTCCCAGCATCAGGGTCTTTTTCAATGAGTCTGCTCTTTACACCACATGGCCAAAAGTACTGGAACTTCAGCTTCAGTATCAGTCCTTCTAATGAATATTCAGGGTTTATTTCCTTCAGGATTGACTGCTTGGACCTCTTTACAGTTCAAGGGACTTTCAAACATATTCTCTAACACCACAATTCAAAAGCATCAATTCTTTAGCACTCAGACTTCTTTTTTTTTTTCATTTACTTTTATTAGTTGGAGGCTAATTACTTTATAATATTGTAGTGGTTTTTGTCATACATTGAAGTAAATTAGCCATGGATTTACATGTATTCCCCATCCCGATCCCCCCTCCCACCTCCCTCTCCACCCGATCCCTCTGGGTCTTCCCAGTGCACCAGGCCCGAGCACTTGTCTCATGCATCCCATCTGGGCTGGTGATCTGTTTCACCCTAGATAATATACATGGTTCATTGCTGTTCTCTTGAAACATCCCACCCTCGCCTTCTCCCACAGAGTCCAAAAGTCTGTTCTATACATCTGTGTCTCTTTTTCTGTTTTGCATATAGGGTTATCGTTACCATCTTTCTAAATTCCATATATATGTGTTAGTATACTGTAATGGTCTTTATCTTTCTGGCTTTCTTCACTCTGTATAAGGGGCTCCAGTTTCATCCATCTCATTAGAACTGATTCAAATGAATTCTTTTTAATGGCTGAGTAATATTCCATGGTGTATATGTACCACAGCTTCCTTATCCATTCGTCTGCTGATGGGCATCTAGGTCGCTTCCATGTCCTGGATATTATAAACAGTGCTGCAATGAACATTGGGGTGCACGTGTCTCTTTCAGATCTGGTTTCCTCAGTGTGTATGCCCAGAAGTGGGATTGCTGGGTCATATGGCAGTTCTATTTCTAGTTTTTTAAGAAATCTCCACACTGTTCTCCATAGTGGCTGTAATAGTTTGCATTCCCACCAACAGTGTAAGAGGGTTCCCTTTTCTCCACACCCTCTCCAGCATTTATTGCTTGTAGACTTTTGGATAGCAGCCATCCTGACTGGCGTGTAATGGTACCTCATTGTGGTTTTGATTTGCATTTGTCTGATAATGAGTGATGTTGAGCATGTTTTCATGTGTTTCTTAGCCATCTGTATGTCTTCCTTGGAGAAATGTCTGTTTAGTTCTTTGGCCCATTTTTTGATTGGGTCATTTATTTTTCTGGAGTTGAGCTGGAGGAGTTGCTTGTATATTTTTGAGATTAATCCTTTGTCTGTTGCTTCGTTTGATATTATTTTCTCCCAATCTGAGGGCTGTCTTTTCACCTTGCTTATAGTTTCCTTTGTTGTGCAAAAGCTTTTCAGTTTTATTAGGTCCCATTTGTTTATTTTTGTTTTTGTTTCCAATATTCTGGGATGTGGGTCAGAGAGGATCCTGCTGTGATTTATGTCGGAGAGTGTTTTGCCTATGTTCTCCTCTAGGAGTTTTATAGTTTCTGGTCTTAATAAGATCTTTAATCCATTTTGAGTTTATTTTTGTGTATGGTGTTAGAAAGTGTTCTAGTTTCATTCTTTTACAGGTGGTTGACCAGTTTTCCCAGCACCACGTTAAAGAGGTTGTCTTTTTTCCATTGTATATCCTTGCCTTCTTTGTCGAAGATAAAGTGACCACAGGTTCATGGATTTATCTCTGGGCTTTCCATTCTGTTCCATTGATCTATATTTCTGTCTTTGTGCCAGTACCATAACTGTCTTGATGACTGTGGCTTTGTAGTAGAGCCTGAGGTCAGGGAGGTTGATTATTCCAGTTCCATTCTTCTTTCTCAAGGTTACTTTGGCTATTCGAGGTTTTTTGTATTTCCATACAAATTGTGAAATTATTTGTTCTAGTTCTGTGAAAAATACCGTTGGTAACTTGATAGGGATTACATTGAATCTATAGATTGCTTTGGGTAGTATAGCCATTTTGACAATATTGATTCTTCCAATCCATGAATACGGTATATTTCTCCATCTCTTTGTGTCCTCTTTGATTTCTTTCATCAGTGTTTTATAGTTTTCTATGTATAGGTCTTTTGTTTCTTTAAGTAGATATACTCCTAAGTATTTTATTCTTTTTGTTGCAATGGTGAATGGTATTGTTTCCTTAATTTCTCTGTTTTCTCATTGTTAGTGTATAGGAATGCAAGGGATATCTGTGTGTTCATTTTATATCCTGCAACTTTACTATATTCATTGATTAGCTCTAGTAATATTCTGGTATAGTCTTTAGGGTTTTCTATGTAGAGGATCATGTCATCTGCAAACAGAGAGAGTTTCACTTCTTCTTTTCCTATCTGGATTCCTTTTACTTCTTTTTCTGCCCTGATTGCTGTGGCCAACACTTCCAAAACTATGTTGAATAGGAGTGGTGAGAGTGGGCACCCTTGTCTTGTTCCTGATTTCAGGGGAAATGCTTTCAATTTTTCACCATTGAGGGTGATGCTTGCTGTGGGTTTGTCATATATAGCTTTTATTATGTTGAGGTATGTTCCTTCTATTCCTGCTTTCTGGAGAGTTTTAATCATAAATAGATGTTGAATTTTGTCAAAGGCTTTTTCTGCATCTATTGAGATAATCATATGGTTTTTATCTTTCAATTTGTTAATGTGGTGTATTACATTGATTGATTTGCGGATATTAAAGAATCCTTGCATTCCTGGGATAAAGCCCATTTGGTCATGGTGTATGATTTTTTTTAATATGTTGTTGGATTCTGTTTGCTAGAATTTTGTTAAGGATTTTTGCATCTATGTTCATCAGTGATATTGGCCTGTAGTTCTCTTTTTTTTTGGCATCTTTGTCTGGTTCTGGAATTAGGGTGATGGTGGCCTCATAGAATGAGTTTGGAAGTTTAACTTCTTCTGCAATTTTCTGGAAGAGTTTGAGTAAGATAGGTGTTAGCTCTTCTCTAAATTTTTGGTAGAATTCAGCTGTGAAGCCATCTGGTCCTGGGCTTTTGTTTGCTGGAAGATTTCTGATTACAGTTTCGATTTCCTTGCTTGTGATGGGTTTGTTAAGATCTTCTATTTCTTCCTGGTTCAGTTTTGGAAAGTTATACTTCTCTAAGAACTTGTCCCTTTCTTCCAAGTTGTCCATTTTATTGGCATAGGTACTCAGACTTCTTTATGGTTCTACTTTCACATCAGTAAATGACTACTGGAAAAACCATAGCTCTGACTATACAGAACTTTGCAGGCAAAGTGATGTTTCTGCTTTTTAATACGCTGTCTAGGTTTATCATAACTTTGCTTCTAAGGAGCAAGTGTCTTTTAATTTCAGGACAGCAGTCACTGTCCTGTGATTTTGGAGCCTAAGAAAAGAAAATCTGTCACTGTTTCCATTTGTCCCCAACTATTTGCCCTAAAGTGATGGGACCAGATGCCATGATCTTAAGTTTTTTTGAAAGCTGAGTTTTAAGACAGTTTTTTCACTCTCCTCTTTCACCCTCATCAAGAGGTTCTTTAGTTCCTCTTAACTTTCTGCCATTAGAGTGTTATCATCTACATATTTGAGGCTGTTGATACTACTCCCCACTATCTTGATTCTAGTTTGTGATTCATCCAGCCTGGCATTTCACATGATGTACCCTGGATAGAAGTTAAATAAGCAAGGTGACAATATATAGCCTTGATGCACTCCTTTCCCAATTTGGAACCAGTCCATTGTTCCGTGTCTGGTTCAAACTGTTTCTCCTTGACCTGTATACAGTTTTCTCAGGAGGCAAGTGAGGTGATCTGGTATTCCTATCTCTTTCAGAATTTTCCAGTTTGTTGTGACCCACACGGTCAAAGGCTTTAGCATATGCAGTCAATGAAGCAGACATAGATGTTTTTCTGGAACTCTCTTGCTTTTTCGATGCCAACGGATGTTGGCAATTTGATCCCTGGTTCCTCTGCCTTTTCTAAATCTAGCTTGAACATCTAGAAGTTCTTGGTCCATGTACTGTTGATGCCTAGCTTGGAGAATTTTGAGCATTACTTCACTAGTGTGTGAGACGAATACAATTGTGCAGCAGTTTGAGTATTCTTTGGCATTTGGGACCGGAATGAAAAGTGGTCTTTTCCATTCCTATGGTCACTGCTGAGTTTTCCAAATTTGCTGACATACTGGGTGCAGCACTTTAATGACATTATCTTTTAGGATTTTAAATAGCTGAGCTGGAACTGTCCTCTGCTTTTCCCCAGTAGCATACTGGACACCTTCCCACCTGGGAGGGGCTCATCTTCCACTGTCATATCTTTTTGCCTTTTCATACTGTTACTGGGATTCTTTCAGCAAGAATACTGCAGTGGTTTCCATTTCTTCCTCCAGTGGACCATGTTTGACAGAACTCTTCACTATGACTTGTCCATCTTGGGTGGCCCTGCAAAGCACGGCTCATAGTCCCTTCACCACAAGGCTATGATCCATGAAGGGGAAATGCAGGCTGTTGAATTCAAGTGAAAGTCCTCTAAAGGCAAACTACTTGATCCTGGGCAGCTTTTAAATTGGTAAGTGTTTCCTGTCTGTGCCAGGCTGAGCTCTTCTAGATCCTGCGTCAGGTCAATGGGTTTGGGTTCTGTTAGTTACACTGGTTGATTTTGTTTTGTAGGAAAAACTCATCAACAAATAGGAAAAAAAGTCAAGCAATCTTTCCAGATTTATTACCTGCCACTCCGTACTCCTACCCCTCAACTGAAAAGATGTAATATACAAGTAAGTCTAGATTTAAAATTGCTGAAGTCAAATCTTAAAACTTCACATGGGCCACATTACCTTGAAGTAGTGTGTGATCATATATAAAATATAAAAAACAGACGTTCCAAACAAACTCATATACATATTCCTTATGTATCATTATATGGACAAAGGACATCAACTGAAAATTATCCAACTCTGATGCAATTTTTGAAAGCTTTAGATTACAAAGCCTAAAGTAACAGGCATTTTATTTTTTATAGTTTTGTTTCCAATTGTCCCCCTTTTCTGAGGTTCATAAAAGTTCCTTTAAACACTAAACAGAAATTTATTCTTCCCCTCATCATCAGTTTCTGGCACAAGTTCAGTGTTGGGCAATTTAAAACCAATGTTTCCTATTTATTGTAAGCAAGAGGGAATCCTCTCCCTAATTCCCATCTACAGAGATGTAATTGGTTTCAAATGTTTGCTCACAGGTAGAAACACATAACCAACTACTAATTCCTAATAAAGAAAATGTAAAAATAACAATTATATATTTTTCAGGGCAAAGTAAGTTTACACATCAAGCTGGTAATAGCAACTATAAGTGATATGATTATACACTGTAGATTTCATGACTCAACACATTGTGTAAAAATTTCTAAAGCACCTAGAAATACAGTAGAATTTTGATATATAAGTGTATTTCCTTTTGCCAGTTTGTAAGCTGGACCAACTAACATGAATCATACACATTTGGTAGCCACTTTTCCACAAGAGAATGTGGTTCTGTTCAGTTAGAAGACAAGACATTCTTCAGTGGAAGAACACAGACAACAGTCAGTCAGCAGAAACCTGTCACCAAGAATAAAAAATGTGTCAAAAGACTAATGTCACAAGCTCCAGGACATTGAGACCAGGCTCCAGCTCATTTCAGTTGTTTGCTCACATAGCAAACCTGACATGTTGGTGCATAAATTCAAAGAGAACACAAAACAACCAGGGCTGAGTCTACTATGAATGATACACATTTCAGAGCTGGTCTGTTATGGTCTATGACAGCTTAAATCTAAAGGTGCATAGTAAATGAAAAATAGTAGTCTAGTTAAACAATACAGAGTAAGTTTTCTATAATTGGAAGGATACCTGTTGTGTTCGGTGCACACACTTAACAGCCATCCACTTCTGCTCAGAGCTAAAAGGGTATTCGGCTTTTCTGATATAATCCTGTTGCAGTCCATCAAGACCCATCTATATGGCACAAAAGAAAAGTTAATTCTCACCAATTTTTTTCTTTTAACAAAGAAACAGGAGTCACACTTGCAGGGAAGCAGGTTAGAGATACCTGGATTATTTGCAAACAGCAGCACTCCACCTACACATACCACACTTCTCTGAAAAGCAGCACACATGTTCAACGTGAAAGCCTGGGTATATAGATAGTCCAGAGCACACTACTGAACTATATGCAAAGCAAAACTTCAACACTGACTGTATTAAAATCTCAACTGGCTCAAACTCTGGGAAGAAGTAGGGTAACAAATAAAGGTGTCCAGCCAATACATACTGTATAATCAACAGAAGTTTCAAACTCAACTCCTCAGTTCTCAAATAGGGTAGATACTCAAATCTACCCTGCCTGTTGCTGCCATCCAACACCCTCTCACCCCACCACTGACACGCTGACTACGACTAATGCCATGCAGCTCTTCTTCCTAGTAGCCTTTTCATTTCCCAGCAAACACTCAAAAATATTCTTCAAATTATTCAAAAATCAAGTTTACTGCTCCTTCCTGGCTTTTAAAGGTCCTCCAGTAACCCATCACACAGCCAACTCAACAAGCCTCTAGGCCACTCAAACTGTTCATTTCACTTAGGTTAACCAATTCAAAAGTCACAATTCAGTCTACCCTTATGTATTCCTCAAGCTTTTATTTTTGCTCTTCCCCTAGCTTACACCCCACTCCATCCTATCTAAATCCCTCCTTCCTTTCAAAGTTCAGGTTCCAAGTCTTAAAGTGCACTCTTCTTATACATGGCTCAGTGTTAAGACTGTCTGCTACCTTGGCCTGCCTTTTATTTGTTCCAGTCTGTCACTATTGACTTCCTACCTAAATTGTGAGGTTCCCCACCCATAAAGAGGTGGTTTCATGTTCTTTATTTCTCAAAAAGAGAAAGTTAAACACAATACTCATTATTTAACTTTTCAATATCTTTAAAAAAGTGATACTATGCTATTTTTAGTTACAAGGAAAACAAATTGTAAAGGAAAAAAGAAAGTGACTTCTCATTAAGGAAATATATATATTATAAAACTGCCAATTTGACTTTATCAAATTAATATTATAACAACCTACATTTCTATACTGAATCTCAACAGAAGCAACCTCATTCAGAGACATCCTATTTTATACACATTTCCTAAAACTGCTCTTAAAAGTAGTATTATTTTTGTTATGGGAGTGCCAGGTTGGACTTTTAGGTTTCTCATTTAATCAACTGTAGGACTTAGAAAAGGAGATCAACTTGGGTAGAGTCACTGAGATTAGCACCCTATCTTCCCAACAGAAACACTATCTCTACATTCATTTTAAGAAATTAATAATGGAAGGAAAGGGAAGACTGGAAAAAGAAAAGCTGACTTCTCATGTTGCCCTTAATATCTTTACATGGAAATACTAAAGAATGTTGCCTATTTCACGTTTGAAAATTGGCACTTACCAGCAATTATACACATTTATAAAACTTTTCATACAACACTCTGAATATTACGAAAAACAAGAACATTTCTTTGTAAGAATAAACCCCTAACTGGTCATTAGTTTGTATGCTGCATGGAGGAGATTGAAAGTTATAGTGAAAACCCTCATGCTCTGTATCTCCAGAAAGCCTAAAATTGGTTCCCAAAAGGCAGTACAAACTATGAAATCCTGTGCATCTTCTTCACTCCACACCTAAAAGCCAGTGCTACTCAAATCCATGGCTTCATATTCTCTTGCGAGAGTGACGTTTTCACATGTCAAAGAAGAGAGGACCCAGCACATACCTTCATTGCAAGAGCAATTAAGGCTCCTTCCGTTGGTTTCCCCATTAGAGTGTTATTTCTAATTACAGCATCATTGCACACACAGCCAGCCTAAAAGAAATACACAACTATGAACCCATCACTGCATCCTAAGTCATTATGAAGAAAGCCACTTTCTTATAAAGAAAGCAGTATTTACCTCAACAATTCTGCTAACAGATGGGTTATAGAATCCATGGACAACATCACCATCAACAATCACTTCCCCAAATGGATTGTAGCCAACTCCAGTAACCTAAGGAACATAAAGTAGAGTCAATAATACACTACAGTAGGCAGTGACAATACTTATAAAAACAGAAAACTGATGAGCTGTGTTCATCATGACACTATTAAATGTAGAAAAGCACTTACATTTATCTAAAAGAACATTTAATAGTAAAAGGAATAGATAGTAATTTTCACCACAATGATAAACCTACAGTTAATTCCACATAAATAATTAACTATTATGCTAATTAATAATTATAATACATAGTACATTGTAAGTAAACAATATAATTCCTAATATAATTAATATAACCTTCTATTGCTTCTACTTAAAACACACTATAAAAAGGGAAACTAAATCATGAAAATCTCTATATATCTAAGTTTAAATTTACACAACATTACATTTATAGGTGTGTGTGTATGTTAGTCGCTCAGTCATGTCCAACTCTTTGTGACTCATGAACTGTAGCCCATCAGGTTCCTGTCTATGGAATTCTCCAGGCAAGAATACTGGAGTGAGTTGCCATTCCCTTCTCGAGGAGACCTTCCTGACCCAAGGATCGAATTCAGGTATCCTGCATTGCAGGAAGATTCTTTACTATCTGAACCACCAGGGAAGTCCTACATTTATATAACACTACAATTTGCAAAGAATTCCAATCTATTACATTTAACATTCAGGACAAATCTATGACCTAGACAAAAACAAAGTTCTTTTTGTAAATATTCAAGGCTCAGAGATAAATGATTTACCCTAGCACTCTCCAATTACTTTAACATAGTACGATACCCACCAATTTTAAAAATCAGAGACAGGGATAAGTCAGATACTTATATATGGCGACAACAAGCCAAGCCAAATACAAGTTAAATTTCACGATATAAATAAGGCAGTTTAAGGGAATTAACAGTTAATGCTTGACATACAAAATTCTGGGCTTAGAACAAAAGATAAATTTATATCCTACCTTTCATACCTGGACCATATAAGCACATGTAAACCCAAAGACCCTTCTGAATCATCCAGAAAAGACACATCCAACAACACAGCACTGGGTATCCTAACCAAATCTAACATCCTAAGTATACAGTCTCATTTTAAGACCTAGTAAAACAGAATTAAACGGACCCAAGTACAACTTCTGTTACTTTGTGAAATTCTTCCTTTGCTCACAGAACTGGCTATAAATACATTTTAAAATACTGTTCCCATAACAAGTAGTATTAATGAAAATTCCAGTCAGAAATTCTGCCACGACTAGCTGAGACTAAAATCTGTCCTCATACAGCTTCAAAATTAACCAATGCACATACACTTGTACTTCAGTGTACATAACATGCACTTCAGGGGCGATTCATATACAATTTTTAAAGTAGAATAATTCATGCATTCATTTTTTCTTTCAACATGTACTAATACAAAGCAGACCCTGTGTTGGGCACCAGAGTTTCTGCTCTATTATGCTCAGGGTATCATGGGAAGAGAGACAGAGGATTTCACCTAAACAAAGAGGTACGGAGCTATGAAAACATGTAACACAGGATGAGTTCTAGGTGATCAGCAAAGCTTTTCTGAAGAAAGGGTAAGAAGTGAGGTGCAAAGAATGAAGAGACATTAAACTGTCCTAAACAGTGAGAATAGCACCAAAGGTCCTTAAGTAGGAGGAATTCTGTCACACTGCAAGAACCATAAAGTCATGTACTTGGTCTATGGAAAGCCACGGAGAGATACAGACTGAGGAAGGAAGTGTGGGACAGAACCCACAGAGCCGTGAGCAGCCCCACTTCAGGACCCTGGTCATAATGGGAAGCCACTAAAGTATCTTCACTTAGGGAATTCTGAGAGGTTCCCTTGCTGCAGACAGAGGAAGGGTCCAGAGTCTGGTAACAAATGGATGTAGAGAGACAGACAGAAAGGTGTTGAGGGACAGCAACATATCTGCACTGCACAGCTGGAGCAGGACCAAGACTTGGGAGAATCACACGGGGTGGAAAAATACTCAGCTGTCAACTAACTTGAGAATACACCAGAATGGTTAGGAATGCTAAACACCAAGACTCCTAAAAAGGAATTCTGCTGTTAAAAAAAACATCTACAGAGTACCTCAGCACGCAGGCCATCCGAAGTAAATATGTGGGTAACAGTCATTTCATTCTTGGTCAGCGTTCCAGTCTTATCTGAACAAATCACATTACAGCAACCTGAAGAATAAATCACTATGAGTCACCAAGAGTCATTAAAAAAAATGAAAGCTTGCACTGAAAACAAATTAAAGACTCTAGAAAACTGCCTTGCTTCTCTGAATATTGTAAAACTCAAGCTCATGGATAATTTTAGGTTATTTTCTCTAATCATGTTTACTTTATCACAAGGTAGTTTCTGGAATTAAAAAGATACTGATAAATGCTGATTTTGTTTTATTTAGTTGAATTTCTACAAAGCTACATGATATCAACTCTACATAGCAACTTTATATACTACATTTTCTAGAACATTTCAAGGTTACCTAAATATAAACTCATGTAATTTTTTCCGCCAGTATTTTAATGAGTTTTTGCCTTCTCAATATTAAACTACAAACTAGAAGCTAAATTTAACATTTTTGAATTCCTAAATTAAAAGCTTCATAACATACACAAAGTTACCACAATTTTCATATCTTACATAAAATTACATTATAGCAACGTAACTATTGTATACTTACTGTTCTTAATAAATTCAAGAATGACAGTTTAGGATCTATCACTATCAATTACTTTTCTTGAGATGTCAAACAAGAATAATTCTCTGTAATTTCACAATTTCATGTTACTTCATTTTAATATATATATATATTTTATTGTAGTATAGTTGACTTACAATGTTTCAAATACATAGCAAGGTGGTTCAGTTATACAAACACACATTTATCATTTTTTAAATTATTGTCCATCCTAGGTTATTACAAGACATTGACTATGATTCCTTATGCTATATAGTACACCTTTGCAGCTTGTTGTACAACTATTTTTTAATTAGAAATCTTGCATTCTGTTCATAATAAGTAAAACAAACAGAACCAAAATGTTGTAATTTTTTTAACTGGGCAAAAATTCATGTTATGTTAAAAAAACTATAAAGCATATATACTATATATTATGTATACAAAAGCTTTTCTACAATGCTTGATAAAGACTTGAAAAAGAACATCCAAAAAATACTGAAGATATTGGAGAACATAAGCTAAATGAAATGGGAGCAATTAATGTGAAAAAGAGAAAGTGAAAAAAACTAGATAAGATCATCATATAGTCCAGTTGCTTTTAAACATGACTGCTCATTTGAAATTAATCTCGAGCTCTGGAGATAAAAAGCAATACCTGAGCATTTGGATTTTTCAAAAAATTTCAAGATAATTCTGATATGCATCTGCATTTTAAAAAGTGATCATACGTTTTTCTAATGGAGTCTAATGTTGGTGATATAGAGCTCTACTATTCTTCTGTTGACCAATCACGATACAAAGGTATTAATAGTTACATAATCACAACAGTAAAAGATGTTTATCAGTTTTCATACTCAATAGCCAGACAAAAAATAAAAGATAACTACAACTGCAAGCCATAATGGGAACATGATTAATTTAACAATATAAAATAATTACATACAATTTGGGGGGTTGGGTGTCAAGCAGAGTGATGTGGTAAGTGGAAGTGCATACATGCACATGTTTTCATCCACCCAACTAGTTTGTGTCTTTTGGTTGGTGCGTTTAATCCATTTACATTTAAGGTAATTATTGATATGTATAAACCTATTACCATTTTCTTAATTATTTTGGATTTATTTGCTGTAGGTATTTTCCTTCTCTTGTGTTTCCTGCCTAGAGAAGTTCCTTTAGCATTTGTTGTAAAGCTGGATTGGTGGTGCTGAATTCTTCTAACTTCTGCTTGTCTGGGAAATTCTGAAAGAGATGGGAATACCAGAACACCTGACCTGCCTCTTGAGAAACCTGTATGCAGGTCAGGAAGCAACAGTTAGAACTGCACATGGAACAACAGACTGGTTCCAAATACGGAAATGAGTATGTCAAGGCAGTATATTGTCACCCTGCTTATTTAACCTATATGCAGAGTTCATAATGAGAAACACTGGGCTGAAGGAAGCACAAGCTGGAATCAAGATTGCTGTGAAAAATACCAATAATCTCAGATATGCAGAGGACACCACCCTTATGGCAGAAAGTGAAAAAGAACTAAAAAGCCTCTTGATGAAAGTCAAAGAGGAGAGTGAAAAAGTTGGCTTAAAGCTCAACATTCAGAAAACTAAGATCATGGCATCTGGTCCCATCACTTCACAGCAAATAGATGGGGAAACAGTGGAAACAGTGTCAGACTTTATATTTCTGGGCTCCAAAATCACTGCAGATGGTGACTGCAGCCATGAAATTAAAAGATGCTTACTCCTTGGAAGGAAAGTTATGACCAACCTAGACAGCATATTAAAAAGCAGAGACACTACTTTGTCAACAAAGGTCTGTCTAGTCAAGGCTATGGTTTTTCCAGTGGTCATGTATGGATATGAGAGCTGGACTATAAAGAAAGTTGAGCGCTGAAGAATTGATGGTTTTGAACTGTGGTGTTGGAGAAGACTCTTGAGAGCCCCTTGGACTGCAAGGAGATCCAACCAGTCCATCCTAAAGGAGATCAGTCCTGGGTGTTCATTAGAAGGACTGATGTTGACGCTGAAACTCCAATACTTTGGCCACCTAATGAGAAGAGTTCACTCATTGGAAAAGACCCTGATGCTGGGAAAGATTGAGGGCAGGAGGAGAAGGGGGCGACAGAGGATGAGATGGTTGGATGGCATCACCGACTCAATGGACATGGGTTTGGGTGGACTCCGGGAGTTGGTGATGGACAGGGAGTGGTGATGGACAGGGAGGCCTGGCGTGCTGCGGTTCATGAGGTCGCAAAGAGTTGGACACGACTAAGCGAATGAACTGAACTGTCTGGGAAAGCTTTTGATTTTGCCTTCAAATCTGAAGGGGAAACTTGCTGGGTATTCTTGGTTGCAAGTTCTTCCCTTTCATCATTTTAAATATGGTGCCATTCCCTTCTGGCTTGAGAAATTTTGAGAATTTAAGCTGATAGCCTGATGGAAGTTCCCTTGTGTGGTACTTGTCATTTTTCCCTTGTTGCTTTTAATATATTTTATCTCTGTCTTTAATTTTTGTCTGTCTCTGTGTGTTCCTCCTTGGCTTTATCCTGCCTGGGACTCTCTGTGCTTCCTGGACTTGGTTGACTACTTCCTTTCCCATGTTAGTGAAGTCTTCAGCTATTATCTCTTCAAATATTTCTCAGGTCCTTTCTCTCTTCCTTCTCCTTTTAGGACCCCTGTAATGAAAATGTTGGTGCATTTAAGTTGTCCCAAAGGTCTCTTAGGCTGTCTTTATTTCTTTTCATTCTTTTTTCTGTATTCTGTTCTGTGGCAGTGATTTCCACCATTCTGTCCTCCAGGTCATTTATCCATTCTTCTGCCTCAGTTATTCTGCTATTGATTTCTTCTTGTGTATTATTCATCTCGGTTTGCTTGTTCTCTAGTTCTTCCAGGTCTTTGGTAAACATTTCTTGCATCTTTTCCATTGTTTTCCCGAGATCCTGAATCAGCTTCACTATCATTATTCTGAATTCTTTTTCTGGAAGATTGCCTATCTCCACTTCATTTAGTTGTTTTTCTGGGATTTTATCTTGTCCCTTCATCTGGGACATAACTTTCTACTTTTTCATCCTAACTTTCTCTAAAGTAGTTTTTCTTTTAGCTGCTGTGGGACTGTGGTTCTTCTTGCTTCTTCCGTCTGCCTTCTGACGGAAGAGGCTAAGAGACTTGTGTAAGCTTCCTAATGGGAGGGACTGGCAGTAGGAAAAACTGGGTCTTGCTCTGGTGGGCAGGGCCTTGTTCAGTAAAGCATTAATCCAATTATTGGGGTTGTCTCCCTTCCTGGTAGTTATCTGGCCTGAGGTTACCCAGCCCTAGGATCTAAGGGCTCTATGGTAGGGTTAATAGTGACCTCCAAGAGGGATTAGCCCAAGGGGGGACCTTCCCGGACTGCTACTGCCAGTGCCCCCATCCCTGTGGTGAGCCCCCACCCACACCTCCACAGAAGACCCTCCAACACTAGTGGGAATTTTTGGTTCAGTCTCCTGTGGGGTCACTGCTCCTTTTCTCTGGGTCTTGATGCAGGCCAAGATTTTCTTTGTGCCCTCCAAAACTGGAGTCTCTCTTTCCCCCAGTCCTGTGGAAGTCCCATAATCAAATCCTTCTGGCCTTCAAGGTCAGATTACCTGGGGATTCTGAGTTAATTCCTAGGTAGGTTGATAAGGAGTCCAGGGTCCTCAAGGAGGAGAAACGGACAAACTATTTTTTCCTCTACATTCCTTCATCCTAGTCATATTAAGATGGTTTTTTCTTAAGCTTTGAGTTGTTATGGCAACAATCTATTTCTTCTAAGACTAACTTTCTTTAAGCCCAGAGCTAATGATTACACGAGAAAACAACTCATCTTACTCAAGGGTATGTTTTTCCTTAAACTCTGTACTAATGATTATATAATAACAATGCATCTTGCTCCAGAACATGTTTCCCCTTCTTAAGAACCTTCTGACTAATCCTGTTATCTTAAGATGTATCTTGTGGGAGTGGGTCTGGTAAGACCTTTCTGTTGTTAGTAACCAACAAAAAAGTAACCAGAACATATGTAAGGCCTTGATAAGACTAGCCTATGAGGCACTCTCTGCCCACTTCTGATGTCTGTGTCAGAAGCTTTCTCTATCCCTTTTTTTACTGTAATAAATCTTTTGCCACACCAAGTTTTGAGTGACTGAAGACAAGTCTCTGGTTCTGAAGCAAAACTGTCTCCTTCAGAGATCACGAATCTGAGCCGTTCACCATAAGCTATCAATTCCCATCCCTTTGTCGGATCCCCAGGGTCAGAAGCTTGATGTGGGGTTCAGAACCTTCACAATAGTGCAAGAACTTCTTTGTATTATTGTCCTCCACACTGTGCGTCACTCACCCAGCAGGTATGGGCTTTGATTTTTATCGTGATTGTGCCATCCTACCATCTCATTGTGGCTTCTTGTTTGGCTTTGAACGTGAGATATCTTTTTTTGCTAGGTTCCAGTGTCCTCCTTCAATAGCTAGTTGCAATTTTGGTGCTCATACAGGAGATGAGCATGCGCATTTCCTTCTACTCTGCCATCTTGAACTGAAAGTCACTACTTTTTTAAAACATGATTTAAGCATTAGAACACTCCATGATGCAGAAAGATTTAAAGTTTCCTTATCTGAGTGATATGAATTTTTAATGACCTTTTTTGGTTAGTAAAACCATACTCAACATTGCTGTATGTCCACCACCACCATGTAAACCTCTAAGGCAAAAGCTATAAAACCCTAAGATCTCTGCTAATGTAAACTAACATGTCAGTGGACAAGTATGCTCTAACCAGAGACTTACCCAGAGTTTCAACAATAGGTAGTTTTTTCACAATCGCCCTCTTCTTCACCATTCTCATAACACCAAGGGCTAGAGTCACTGTGACCACAATGGGAAGACCTTCAGGAATTGCTGCTACAGCCAAACTGTAGCCAATAAAGACACAGCATTTAAGTGTAAATTCAGTAGTACCCACAACAATAATTTCAATCAGCTGTTACTTAGAGACTAAATAATGTAATGTAGACTTAGAGACTAAATAATATAAAATTAATGTTGTCAAACCCATAAAAGGCCTTAGTATGAGGAAAAACTGATTAACATTTATTGGCCACCTACAAGCTACCAGATTAAGCACAGTGATTAAAGAATATACATTCTTACATCACACTGCCTAGATGTCTACTCCAAGCTTCAATTTTTACCTATGTGAATTTAAGCTATTATGCCTCCACCCCATAGTTGAGTTTCCTCATCTATAAATATAGTAACAGGTGTTCACACAAAAACTTGTACATGAATGTTCACAGCAGCATTATTCACAATACTCAAAAGATGTTAAGAGCCCAATGTCCATCAATTGATGAATGGTAAATTGTGGCGTGTGCCTGTACACGGGAGCACATAAAAGAGAAGAGAGTACTGATTCATGCTACAAATGGAAAAACCTTGAAAACATCACGCTAAGGAAAGCAGCAGGACACATGTTGCAAGATTTCCCCTATATGAGATGTCAGGAATAAGCAAATCCAAAAAGACAGAAGTCTGTTTAGTGGCTACCAGCAGGCAAGGAGGGGGCAGAGTGGGGAATGAACAGGCACAGCGTTTTCTTTCAGGGGTGATTTAAAAGTTCCAACACTAGATGTTGGTGATGGTGGTTAACAGTATGAATGTACTTAACAGCACTGAACTGCATACTTTAAGAGGGAATATTTTATTGGTATGTGCATTTTATCACAACAAAAAATTAGTTCATTATTTCCCTTCATAATATTAAAAAAAAAAAAAACCTTCAAATTAAAACTCTACTTGTCCCATTCCAGGTATTATCCCCTGACTCTGGTACAGATGAGGACAGGTACACATCCATCCTTCATTCTAACACTGCTCCCTGCATTCCCCTCTACTGCTTAATTTCTATTATCAACTTTTTCTTTAGCATGATCTAACTTGCCTCTCTTTCTGCCCCCTTCTGATGTCTGTGTCAGAAACTTTCTCTATCCCTTTTATACTCTAATAAAACTTTATTACACAAAAGTTCTGAGCAATCAAGCCTGGTCACTGGCCCCGGATTGAATTCTTCTCCTCTGGAGGCCAAGAATCCCGGCGTCTTTTGTGGTTCGGCAGCAACCTTTCATCCTGGGGACTCGTCTGAGACTCTTCAGGACAAGGTAAGGAGGCCTGGAGCTCTAGTTCTTTGTTCTCCTAAAAATACGTTTCCTGCTGTACTTTACTAACTCTATGGTGCGCTTGTGTGAATGAACGACACACCCTGCGCGAAGCAAATGAGAAGCCCTGCTCGGCGGGTCCCCAGTGACCTCGCACGGCTCATGGCAGAAACCGTGCCCGGGGTTTACACCGAGCTGCCAATGGACTTCCCTGGTGGCTCAGACGGTAAAGCGTCTGCCTACAAGGCGGAAGACCCAGGTTCTATCCCTGGTCGGGAAAATCTCCTGGAAGAGGAAACGGCAACCCACTCCAGTATTTTGCCTGAAAAATCCCATGGATGGAGGAACCTGGTAGGCTACAGTCCATGGGGTTGCAAAGAGGCAGACACGACTGAGCGATTTCACTTTCTCACTTTTAACTTGCCTATCATTACACCGTGTTCTACAACCATCATCAATTTTTTATAGGTTGATTCTAAAAGCTAAACCCAATAAATAATATTTATAATTACTGGCTGAATAATATACACACTGTATAACCAAGAAATATGTGTTATCATTAATATTTCATTTTTTGTTTTGAACCTCTAAGTACAAACAGAAACTTCTTTACTTATGTTTCCATTAACTCTCACTGTATCAGCAAAGACAGCTATCATCATTTATAACTTGGATCCAATGGACCTTCTCATTCTTTTGTATTTAAATTGTTTTATAAATAACTTACAAAGGAACAGAATGGATTATGAAAAACTTCGTAAATTTTTATTTGAATGTTAACCCCAAACTATACTCTTGGATTTGAAAGTGTATATATATCTGAACTGGATAATGTCCTTTGAATGCAACTGCTCATGAACTGTCATGAATAAACCTAGAACATATTTACTTAACAAAACAGTGATTTCAGATTAAAAAACCATTTTTAACAGGTTGTAGGTTTATCAATTCTGGTTCCTCTGTTTGCATCTCTCTCTAAAATGTAACACTTCTGAAAATGCTGATAACTCATAACTTTTAGGATAGTCATCTTCTTTGTAACACAATACCACACAACAAATTCCTTGCTATAGAATGATTACCTATAAGAGAATGCCTGTCCCTCTCCTTTTACCCTTAAAAATAAAGCAGTTCAGTGAATTCCCTGGTGGTCCAGTGGTTAGGACACAGCGCTTTCACTGCCATGGCCCAGGTTTAATGTCTGGTCAGGGAACTAAGATCCCACAAGCCACACAGTGCAGGTAAAAAAATAAAAATAAAAAAAGTTTAGTCGCTAATTCAGGAGTTTGAGAAAATCTAGAGCATCATCATTCAAGGGTTAAATACTGAGATTTCACTTATATAATGACTCAATTTCACCTTCATCATTATAGCCTAGAGTGGTTACTGCTTTGCATTCATCCATCTTCTGGTTTGTGTAATAATTATGAAAACTCTTCCGTCAATTCTTATTTGTCATTATGGTAAAAAAAAGAAAGAAAAAAAACACACTAACTAAATTTCTCAATTTTGTTTAATGAATGCCAAAAAAAAAAAACCCAAAATTTTATCCCCAGACTATTTTATACCTTTTTAAATGATAAGGTAATAGTTTGGGCAAAATAACAAGAAAATTAAAGGATAAAAGAATAATAATGATTTATTTATTATTACAGAAGGGATAGGCTACCCACTCCAATATTTTAGGCTTCCCTTGTGGTTCAGCTGGTGAAGAATCCACCTGTAATGCGGGAGACTTAGGGTAGATCCCTGGGTTGGGAAGATCCCCTGAAGAAGGGAAAGGCTACCCACTCCAGTATTCTGGCCTGGACTATACAGTTCATGGGGTCACAAAGAGTTGGACAGTAGTTTTAAAAGCTATTTATTCTTCTGCTTTCTCATTGCTTTACTCATTTTTAGCACAGTTGTTAGCATACTTGTTAAAATTACTATTAGAGTAATAAGAAAGCAAGATATTTCAAGACATAGGAAAAATAAGGTCACTAGAGATCCCACGTATATTTTAAAATTTATAAAAATGCAATAGACCCCTATGGTCATTGTAAAATAGAATGGAACTGTTTAAATGTTTGATATCTTGGAGGATCCTGAGGTAGGAATAAAAGTCATGATGTGTTAATCTTCATGAAGTACTCTTTAAAAAAATACTCTAAAAAATACGAGTGCAACAGATGATATGCCAATGATTAATAAAATTCATGCCCAATTTTAAATTCATTTCATATTCAACCCGCTTCTTTACATATATTGAAGCCAAGAATTTCAAGTTGCATTTTTGCTTCTCCAAGGAAAAACTATACTCCTTCACTCTATCACAAATATCTATTAACTTCTTATTCATCCTAGTTATTCCTTGTTGATTCTAGTTATTCCTAGTTATTCATCCTAGCTATTCCATTTGATTTTTTTTTAATCCATTGGTTTTTATTCTAAAATTTGAACTATTACTTGCTAGACCTATCACAGAGCTGTCATCCAGAATTTCTCCTTAGAGGACTGAGTGAGTTCCACTTTTTCTTACACCCTATACAACATTGTCTTCCTTTCTTTCAGTAGAAAGATGGTAGAATTCATACAAGAGTAGGTAAGGAATATATTTTCTGACTACTTGCTTACCCATTTATAATTACCTGAATTGATACTTTGGCTAGTCTTAGATTTACAGATTTAAAATAATTTCCCCCCATGTTTTAATTGTACTACCCCACTGTCTTCTAATTTGATTCAAAGAGGCTGTGGATGAAGGTTTAAAAAACCCTTTTTCCCATCTCTATTTGGTTAAATCTCTAGCTTTGTTCCCTTAGTGGTGACAGTATGGCAACTATGCTGCTAGGCAACACTGCTTATGATAAAAGGATCTCCTGACCAATAAATTATCTACAGATTGAAGAATTATAACTATATTATAGGAAGCCATAGCTTTGGGTTTCCCGATTGTGGTGACTCTCGTAACTGGAAATGGTCCTAGCAGACATCCTGGAAAGTGTATGTTTCCAGAGATGTTGACTCCTACAGAATATGAGGCATTTTAACTCAGGACAGCTCCTGCCCTCACATGGTCATCTCATGTGCTTGTCTGAACTGCTGCAGGGACTGCTGCAGAAACACTCTCAGAAGAGGAAGCTGCCCTGTAGTGTTCAGGTCACAGGTACCAGGTATGACCTAGGAAAGTCCTGTGAGCTGAAATCTTAGTGGAGACTAAACACACCCTGTGATGGAAACTGCAGTTGCTGATGAGAAGTGTAATACCAGCCAAATTTCCTTCTTTTACACACGACCTGACCTGTTTCCCTGACTTCCACAATGATGTATCTAGGCTGGAGTTTTGGTCCTCCTGCTTGGCATCTGGAGGATCCCTTCAGTCTATAAAGATTCATGTCTTGCTTCATTTCTTATATAATTTCTTCTTATCTCTTTTTAAAACTTTTACTGAGATATGGCTTGTATTGAATTATTCTCTTTGACACTTTTATCTCCTCTGTTTTGGACATTTTATTCTATTTGGGGGAGATCATTTTGACTTAACAGTTTTTAAGCTGAATTTTTAATTTCAGTAATCATAATCTTTTAAGTTGTTTTTTTTTTTGATGTAGACCATTTCTAAAATCTCTATTGAATTTGTTCTATATTGCTTCTACTGTTTATGTTCTGGTTTTTTGGCCACAAGGCATGTGGGATCTTAGCCACCCAACCAGGGATCAAACTCATACCTCCTGCATTGGAAGACGAAGTCTTAACGACTGGACCACCAGGGATGTCTCTTAAAAATCATAAACTTAATAACTGAAAAAGAAAAAAAGTGTGGGCCCCGTGATCCTTTTCTACAGCAATTTGTCTGTCACGAGTGCAATCTCTTCGCAAATCTCTGAAAACATGAACACTTTTCTGTTCATTTTCAATTTTTCTTCTATTCCTGTATATTTGGTTTTCCTCTGAGTTGATTATTCAGTTTCCATATTGTGATCTTTCTTTCTCATGCTCCTAGTTTTCAGTTTGGTGATCCTTAATTGTCTAAGTATAAAAATGCAATATTTGGTTGGTAATATCAGATATGTAGTGTGGAGTTTTTCCATTGCATACATATAGGTTTTCATAGAGCTCATTTCAATATATGAATTCTGAACTATTTAAGTACAGTTAATATACTCTTATGTGCTCATATAAAACCCATAATGAAACATAAACTATGCCAAACAAAAAAATGAGAGGCAAAAGACTTCAAATTATAAACAAACCATTAGAACTTACCTTACACTAATAGTGAACATTTCCAGTATGTCTTTTCCTAGTAACCAGCCAACCAACATGATGATACCTATAAGAGAATCAGACAGCTATTTTCCCCTCTTACATAAAATCACCTGAGCATACAAGGACAGAACAACAAGTTGAGAGCAGCAAAGGTCCCTTGATATAAAAGGGGAAGTTTATCAGATCACATTTGCAAGATTTTACAAAACTCCATTAAGGAGGGAAGATTAAATTAATATTAAGGTTAAAGGTGTGTATGCATGCACACACCTACAGTTTTACCTTTTGCTGCCACCCATCCTTTAAAGTAATAATATCTGAAAAGTTCCCAATATAAGAGAACATTACCAGTACTTTTGTACAATGGGGGAAAAAAACAAGGCAGCACATACATGTAGGTTTTCTATTACGTGTGAGGTATGCAAAAATAAACCCTAGAACTTTACTTCTCGTAACTCAATGCCCAGATACTACACATTAAATTCGTACTGCAAACCAAGAAGTACTTAGGACTTGGCTCAAAGATGATGTAAGACAGCTAAAACAGCAATTAACATTTAAAAATTACTACCTTTGCAGCATTTGAAAGTTAAAAAGCAATTAATATAAACCAAACAACTGATTCTTTACTCTCTCCTTTAATCTTTATCTTTGAAAAAGAAGGTGAGGGGAAGGGATGTACCACTGATTTTGTGAGGAAAAACACAGCATCAGAGTTTTAATAAAACAAAGTAACTTTGTATTCTAGATCAACATGTACACTTACACAAGGTTTCCTTCATCTTTCTGCAGTTATAAAATACCGATCCCGACTGATTCTCAGGCCCTGGCCCAAACACTGCCCTAGGGAGGGAGGCGTGCCTGGTGGATCACAGCAGGGGCAGACGAGCCGCCACCCGTAGCCACTTGTGTGTGGCCGCTTCCGTGCTGACAAAGAGCTGAGTACGTCCATCATTCGAGGGGGACCAAAGGCTAAAATATTTACAATCTGTCCCTTTACCAAAAAGCCTGCTGACCCTCGCTTCTGACCTTGACCCTTCTATTCCATCTTACCAAGAAAAAATATGTCCAATGCATTATATTAGAACCATGGAAGCAAAAAGCTGAAAATTTTTTTTCAAAAAACTTGACGTGGTTTCATGGTAAAGTGTTACTATAAACTGGAAAGGTTTAATTGCCTAAACTGCCTTTCAATTTATCAAACTGACTATAAATTCTAAAAAATAAACAGCAGTAACCAAAATGAAGGGAGCTATGAGACACACCATTTAAACAAATGAACAAAATAACCTTCCCAGCTTTTACTTTGCTTACAATAATGAAAAATGGATCAACAGAATTAATACTTAAAGAATTATTTTATTGCAACTGTACAGCAGAAATATCTTAAAATCTCATTATTTTTAAAGTTAGCAAGAAAAATTAAAATAACATCGTGGAAGAATTAAAGAAAAAGACTCCAAAATTGATGTCTTTAATGCTATGATAAAGATGTCATTTCAACTCCATGAACAAAGAATGGAATACAGAACTGCTGGTACCAAGATAAATAATTTTTGAGTAAGAGTACGAACTCTACCTTAAATTTTATACTAAAATAGATTCTAAATAAAATAGTAAAATTAAGTGTCAAAAGTAAAAAGTAAGAGAGTGATGTTTAAATAAACATAAACATTTTCCCACATGGGGTTGGAACACAGAAACCTAACTGCAGAGATTATCAAAAGGAGGGTACGATCAGAATCTCAGGCAAGAGAGTGGTTCATTACACACATCTCTCCCCTCCCTACTGAGTTATTATACAGCTCTCAAAAGCAACTTAAAAATCAAGAGAAAAAATATTTATTTCTAACTTAAACAACAAAAGGATTAATATCCTAATTATGCAAAGAGGTGTGACCAATCTAAGGCTTAAGCCACAAAAGAAACAGACTGGCAGTTCATAAAATAGAATAAAATAAAAAGTACTAAGATACATATGACAAAGTGTTCAGTTTCTCAAATAATAAATTTTGAAATAAAAAAGTTGGCAATAGTGCTGGAAGAGAGACACTTTTTTTGTTGTTGAGGGAGGGTATTATTTGGCAACAGGAAAGAAAAGCCTTTAAAAACATGCCAAAAATTTTAAAACCACCACTCTTTGACCCAATAATATCACTTGCAGGAATTTATCCTAAGGAAATAAAGAGTAGTTTATAACAAGATACCAGCATTGAAGAATCACTTTTACAATTTTTAAAAATTTTAAAGACCTACACAAACATCTAAAAAGATGTGCTGACTTTTTATGCATGTATACATACACTCATATATTCACACAATGGAATACTACACAATCTTTAAATTTAAGGTGAGCATCTATTTAATGACAAGATGTTTATGATGGGATGCGTGAAACAAAAGAGAAAAGCAGTCATAACACAATACTATCATACTTTATTGAAGACTAGAAAGACATATTAAAATGTTTATAGAAATGCTCTTTGATTATAGGAATTACAGATTTCTATCTTTGTAGAAAAGGACAATGGCTGGGGATTAGTTTAATAGTTTAAAAAAAGTAATAGTAGCTTAACACATGAATGAATTAATGGATTTTTGTAAGTTTGTACCTAATTCCCACTTCCCATTCAAAAAAGAAAACCTAAGTAAATATTATGAGATATACATACTCACTCTTCTCTTACCTATTATACCAAAGGAGTAAAAGGAAAGTTGTTTTCCTAAAAGGTCCATGCTCTTCTGCAGAGGGGTTTTTGGTGCCTTGACAAATTGGAGAAGAGTGTCACCACAATTACCTAAATTTAGTCAGCTTTACTAGATGCCAGGGACTTAACACACTCGTGACATGCACAACTCCTTCCGCAAGGGAAGTGGGAGGCCTAGAGGCCTAGACTTTTAAAAACCTGTTTATTTGAAAAGGTCTGTGCTCTCTATGCCTCTTTGGAGAAAAATCTATTCTGCCTAGCAGCTTCCCCAGGATTTCAATATCATCAGCTGCTCTCACTTTTGTACTCTTTCTCATTTCTAGATCCACAAACATGCCTGTAAACCATCTTTTTATCCTGTTGGCTCCCTGGTCTCTGGCAACCCCTCTACTGCCAAGGCTGAGATGATTTTACACACTGCATCACATCCAGCAATCTCAGAAGGTTACCTGAGAAAATGATATTGTAGAATGCACTTTTTTATATATATAAGGAGGTATTTTAAATGAGAGAACTGATTTTCAATATCCTTAAACAAGGATATCGTACAAGTTATTTATTTCACTTTGCAATCATTTTTTTCTCCAGATACCTGGAATTATGTCAAGCTGGGAATTTTGGTAGAAGATATGTTATAAAGCACAACTATACTATTTAGTAATCTTTAAAAATTAATATGATAAAGCTAATTTCTAAAACTAATAAGCCTTATAAATAACTGGCCATAAATCTTTTTCTCCTATAAACAATGAATAAATATCAGAATGTTTCAGAATATTAACAATATTAATTCAAGCCCTTCCAATTACAGGCTTTCCAATTATGCTTTTAAGCACAGACAACTGATATTCTGAATAAAATATTACTTTTGAAAGTAATAAAATAATCCTCCAATGTTCTCTTTTCCCCAACTTAAAATGGAGAATATTTCAGATTTGAAACCAAAACATCAACAAACTAAATACTCACTTCTTCTGCTTGCATCATTTTAAAAACTTCTCCGAATTCAGAATTTTCTCCTGTTCCAATGACAATACCCTAAAGGAAAAAACAAGAAATCATATTTACATTCAGATGGAATCACCTGTCTCAAATGAAAACAAAACCCCTTCATTTCTTTTCTCCAAAGCTACCCATAGTCAACATGTCTGACACAATATATCCAGGATTCCCTTCAGAAATTTACTTCCGATGTTACTATAGATCCCTAAAATCAAACACCTCATTAAACTTATCAATGACTCAGTTCTGAGGCCCTTAATATTTCTGAAATTTGAACCTTTCTTATTACTCAGACATTTAATGTAGTTTCCTCTCTAAATACTACTGAATAATGCCTTTTATATTGGTGCAATATTAGAATCCAGTAAGGGCTTCCCTGGTAGCTCAGCTGGTAAAAAATCTGCCTTTAACACAGGAGACCACAGTAAGATTCCTGGGTTGGAAAAGATCCCCTGGAGAAGGGACAGACCACCCACTCCAGTATTCTTGGGCTTCCCTGGTGGCTCAGATGGGAAAGAATCTGCCTGCAGTGGTATAGACCTGGGGTTCAATCCCTGGGTTGGGAAGATCCCCCGGAGGAGGGCATGGCAACCAACTCTAGTATTCCTGACTGGAGAATCCCCACTGACAGTCAGACACAACTGAGTGGCTAAGCACAGCACAACACAGAATTCAGTAAATAAAATATTTTAAATCAATCAGTAGCTGAGTGATATACAGTCAGAACATTATAGCTAGTACCGTATCAACTAAATTGACATTTTATTCAACCAATGGTGAACATACCCACAAGCCACTGTTTCTATCTAAACAAAATAAAATTCCCTGGCAAATGGAAGAACTATGGTTGTATTATATCTCAGGGGCACAGCTCACCCTTGGCTGCACAAAGAGCTTGCCAAGGACTCTGTTCAATTCTGCCATTTCTTCCTCGTGTATGTTTTAAAGATCCACGTAAAATTAGCCAAAGAAAGAACTGAGAAAATGGTTGAAAACAAAGGAACTGTTATCTTCAAAACAAGAACAGAAATTTACCTTGGCTTTGCCACATCTGACCAGTGTTCCCATGAAGGCAATGTTACTCCTTGATGCAAGATCTCCATTAGTAGCAGCCGGCTGAGGAGCTGTCACCTTAGAACAAGGTGTTGTCTCTCCTGTCAAGCTGGACTCATCAACAGAAAGATCCACAGCCTTGAGGAGCATAAAGCACTCTAGTCAGTTCCAGTCTGAAACCTCTTTCTGCTAAAATTAAAGTCTAAGGAGTCTGTAATCACCATTTCTTCTGCAAATATCCTCCCCATTACAGATTAGCCAAAGCTTTTACCATATCCATTATTCAACAATCATATTTAAAGATGAAGCTAAATCAAAAAAATTTGACTTGCAAGGTTGACAGACCCATGAGACAAAATTAGCCTGAACTTCAAAATACAAGTAGGGATAAGGAGACACTAGCTAAAACAATCTCTATCTAGAGAAGACTCAACCCTCATGAGTTTTCTAAAATTATTTCCTAATTTTGCCATATCCTAAAGTCCTAAAAATGGATTTGGCAGGTTTAAACCAACTGTAACAGAAGAGAAATATAACTAAAAAGGTACAAAAGGCATTAAGAAATAAATACTTTCATGATTTGGGTTTAACTTTCATGAATTCTAGCTATACATCCCTAACATTTATTTTAAATTTATGTCAGCAAGAATCAATAACGCACATAGATGTTTCCATACAGATTATGAATATCATATCATCACCCAACTCTGCAATAGGGTTCAATACTGAGGGCTGCACTTGTAACACAATTAAGAATTCACCCACCCAAGCATTGAAAAAAACAAATATCATTTTATATGTGGAAAATACTGCAGATGTGACCTGGCTCTGTTTATGAGTATGGCCCACAGAACAATAATTCTAAGGATGTTAATAGGCATTGTTTATAATGTTATAGGTGGATGATCATTGATTAAACCAACACACACACATTTACACATACACACAAGGGAGGAGTACTATGGTTAAGTTTTAGAAACACTGTATTAAGAGGTAAACAGCTTCCCCTACTGTACTGTTTCTCAAAACCTGCAATGCATCAGTGTCAATCACCTCAAAAGGAATACAGATATAGCAGGGATTGTGGAAGAGTGGCCTTAGCAGAACCAGCAACACCTCTAACACCTCAGAGCTTGTTAAGACATTTACTGCCCTACCGCAGAGTTGGGAGAGTGAACCTAACAGACTGCCTTTATAAGCCCTCCATGTAATTCTGATGCAAGCTCAAGCCTAAGAATCAATAGAATTGTGTTTCCCAAACATCTCTGATGGAGAAGGAAATGGCAACCCACTCCAGTATTCTTGCCTGGAGAATCCCAGGGACGGAGAAGCCTGGTGGGCTGCCGTCTATGGGGTCGCACAGAGTCGGACACGACTGAAGCGACTTAGTAGCAGCAGCAGCAGCAAAAATCTCTGATCTATTTTCCAGAAGCTCTTGTTCAAGGATCAGTAGGACAATCTCTGGAAAACTACAACCTGGTTCATGATTTTACTCATTCATTCACCCAACGAACATTTACCAACTACCTTAACTATGTACCAGACACTGAGTTAGATCCAAGAAAGAAAACAAGATAAGAAAACGAACCCAGAGCAATTAGATGATTGTGCAGTCTCACTGCTTTCATCAACTGACCTGGTGTTCTGAATCAGGCCTCCTGACTGACAATTCATACTATGTACAAAGGACTCTGAATTTGTGTGCTCAATCGTGTCCGACTCTCTGCGATCCTATGGACTATGGTCTGTCAGGCTCCTCTGTTCATGCAATTTTCCCAGTTGTCATTTCCTACTCCAGGGGATCTTCCCAACCCAGGGATCAAACCTATGTCTTTTTCAACTCCTGCACTGGCATACAGATTCTTTACCACTGAGTCCCCTGGGAAGCCCATTCTAAATTTAAATCTTGTTTTTTTCTTTTTTCAGAGGGTGGGGAAGGGGAATAAATCTCATCTTTTTAAATGAGTCATTTTGTTATGAGCATAAATACCTTTAAAAATCTCATGGAAAATAATTATTAAAAACTGAGTTCATGGATTCTTTCCCCCCACCTACATAATAAAACCTTGACTTATTCATTTAAAAAGTTATTTATTAATGCTTATAATGTCCCAGGCCCTGTACTATATCACATCCAATGGCAATCAGGAGTAAACAAAACAGAAGTGCTGTCCTCAGCTTTTAATCTAATGGGAAAATGATTTGAAAAAATAAACAAGTGTATTTAATATAATATATGGGGGGAGAAATAACATGGTAAAAATGCAGAGTGACACTTTAGGTAGAGAAAAGCTCTCAAAGCAGATGAGCCTTTTGCAGAGCCCTGATTTCCTTCTCCAGGGGATCTTCCTGACCCAGGGATCAAACTCAGGTCTCTTGAATTTTTTTTCAAGAGGCATATTCTTTACCATCTGAGCCACCAGGGAAGCCCCAATTTTGGGTTCATTCCTTCACCTCAACCACAAATTAAAAAAAACCTGCCATGCTAAAAGGTTAATGGATTTTTTATTTCCATTTTTTAAATTAAAAGAACACATTTGACTTTTCTTCCCAAATTAATCTTAGCACTGTCTGATTTTTCATACTTTATTAATAAGTAACAAAAAGTAGGGCTGCCCAGGTGGCACTAATGGTAAAGAACCCGCCTGCCAATGCAGGAGAAGTAAGAGGCATGCGTTCAATCCCCGGGTAGGAAAGATCTCCCGGAGGAGAGAAGGCAGCCCACTCCAGCCTTCTTGGCTGGAGAATCCCATGGACAAAGAAGTCCGGCAGGTTAAGGTCCATGGGGTCAGAGTCAGACACAACTGAGTGACCAAGACACTGAGAAGAGAGTCAGGTCTTCTTCTTCAAAGATGATACTAACACTAAAAACGGTCAGCTGACACTGTGCTGCTCACTATCTGGAAGGCACCAAGCAACATACTTATACCAAGTTAACTACAAACAGTTACTTAGCTACTAGCAACTCCAATGAGGCAAGCGCTAGTAGTTCAGTTCAGTTCAGTCGCGTCCAACTCTGTGACCCCACGGACTGCAGAACACCAGGCTTCCCTGTCCGTCACCAACTCCCAGAGCCTACTCAAACTCATATCCATTGTGTCGGTGATGCCATTCAAACATCTCACCCTCTGTCGTCCCCTTCTCCTCCCGCCTTCAATCTTTCCCAGCATCAGGGTCTTTTCCAATGGGTTGGTTCTTCCCATCAGGTGGCCAAAGTATTGGCGTTTCAGCTTCAGCGTCAGCCCTTCCAATGTAGTAGCATCCCTATTTTCAGACTTGTTGAAGGATTAAGGCCTCCTCCAACACCATACAGCTAGTAAGCTGTGGAGATGAAACCTAAATGCTGACAAATTAACTCCTATCTTTCTAAATCCCAAATCAAAATAAAAAGTTTTCTTGGTTCAGCAAGCTCCTCATTAATGCTTGTTACTAAAATCCTTAATGCTTGTAATTTTCTGAGCTTTTAATTAGAAAAACCTAATATGTAAAAACAGAAACTTGTACACAAGTTATAAAAGGAACTCCTTTCTCTGTGAGAAAAGTTAAATTTACGTTTTTCCACCGAAGACTTTTTACTTTAAATGTAAATCTTGAACAAGAATAAATGCCAGCATTAGGTAAGTGTCTGTAGGGACAAGGAATATAAAAACAATTTGTATTTTTAAAGAGTCAGGAAGCATGGCTTTACTGACTATGTCAGGGGCCCAGCTCTTCTGTGTCAGCCTTAGCAGTGCAATAATCACTTAAGAGAGTAAGAATTTTAATTCAAATCAGATTTTTCTACACAAAAGAGGCCATGTAATTTTTTATACAATAGCCTGTCTTAGTATACAAACTAATGTGGAAGAGAAGGGAACTTTGGGCCCTTATCTTTTTTCTTATATGATTATAAATTTGTAAAACTTAAAATATTAATAATACATTATCGATGAAATTTGTCTAAACCATACAATATAGCATAACTCTCAACTGTCTACTGAACAAGAATATTTTCTAAGTGACAAGGTAGTTTTTCTTAATGGTGATTGTGAGTCACCAATAAGTCTCAACCACTTTTCACAGAAAGCGGTTTTGAAAGAATGAGGGGAAGACAATCATTTCTAAGAAGGGTAGTACTTAAAAAGGCAGGCAAGCCTAATTATTACAGTTTAACAAAGTCACAATTTAATTCATCTGAAAAGAAAGATATCAGAGTCATTTATCCAATGCATTCATGAGAGAAAGTTAAGATAAAATGAAATCAAAGAAATAACCAGCTCCAAACATAAAACCTTCAGAAGAGTTTTCAGGGAAACTGATTATGCTTCCTCAGGCACTATGGTGGAGATGTAAATAAGACCCAACACAGTTCAGAAGGCAGACTGTAAAAAAGAATCAAGGTGCATACATAATCCACAATCTGAATATTTAACATCTACAGAATTAAAATGGTTGATAAAAATATCAAGATTATTCCTATAAAACATTAGGGGTAAAGAAGGCAGAAGTAAAGTGAAGTCGCTCAGTCATGTCCGACTCTTTACGACCCCATGGACTGTAGCCTACCAGGCCCCTCAGTCCATGGAATTTTCCAGGCAAGAGTACTGGAGTGGGTTGCCATTTCTTTCTCCACGGGATCTTCCCGACCCAGGGATCGAACCCGGGTCTCCCACACTGCAGGCAGACGCTTTATCGTCTGAGCCCCCAGGGAAGTCAAAGCAAAGTGAAGTCGTGCAGTCGTGTCTGACTCTTTGCGACCCCATGGACTATGGCCTACCATGCCCTCTGCCCATGGGACTTTCCAGGCAAGGGTACTGGAGTGGGTGCCATTTCCTTCTCCAGAGGATCTTCCCGACCCAGGGATCGAACCTGGGTCTCCTGCACTGTAGGCAGACGCTTTACCGTCTGAGCCCCCAGGGAAGTCCATAAAGAAGGTAAATGCTAACTAAAGTCACAAAGATTTCCAGGAAAGCAAAAAGTGACTGCTTAAAAAAAAATTAGTTAGTACAGTACAACTGCTAGCCACAAATAAGTTCTTAAACTAAAGAACATCTTGGTATCCTGTATGCTGCTAGGTTAATCACCTCGAGTCTGGAATTAAAAGCAATTAGAAATGGGTTTCTTTCCTCAGAAATGTATTTTTCAAAATAGTCATCTGC